TAGAATTTCGTATGTATATACTCAAAGAAATATAGGAATTATGTGATTTTTTTTGCTAGCCTAAACGGCATATGATTTGTTTCTAGTTTAATTTATTTGTCATCATTTTTTCATTCTTCTTTCAAAAATAAAACCTTCAATAAGTTAATAAATGAATGTCTTTTAAATGTGTATTTTGATTTTATCTTCTGCCATCATATTGCAAAACAAATAGTGCTGTTTTGAAGTTTCTTTTCAACTATCTAACAGTGTATTTTTTCTTCTATTATTCACTAAGGTCGTTAGTTTATTAGATTATAAGAATTCAGGAAAATCTACTGTTCATCTTGCTTCTTGAGTACTTTTGCTGTTCTTATTATTTCATATTTGTTTCGCCTTATAGACATCTCAAAAAGTAACATAAATAATGTTGATTTCGACTAATGAGGATTGTGTTACGTTGGTAATGTGTATATATTCCCAGGAGATTGGAGTTTGTTCGATCTGAGGTCATTAGTTTAAAAGTAAATTCACTGCAAAGTATAGATAAGCTTTTAGATATTAAAACCGTTTGTTATTAGTGTCAAGTTTTATACAGTCAATTTTCAACAAAGACGGCCTACCTGAATATATAGGCTACCTGTTCCTCCCATCTACATATTTCAACAAGTTATGCTTTCGTTTGTTTTAACACATCATTATGTCCATTGATCGCATAAACTATTCAGGCGCGTTTATGGAAAGTTTGCAATCTTTCAAAATAGTGTCGAAGGCCAATTATTTTAGTGTAACTTTTTGCTCTGATCTCTCTTGGTTTTCTTATATTATCAAAGAAAGTTTTCCGTCTGAATTACTACGTAAAGAAGATTCATGTTTTTTTTGAGGTTGCTCGACATTTACTTTAACAGTTAGTCAACTCTTGCATATTACCTATTATTCTTTACTCTTTATTATTCTTCCCCGTGCTTATGAGAAAAGATTTTGCTGTATTGTGGAGAGCTCTGAAGGCAGTTAGCAGGGTGTGTAGTGAATCTTTTGAGGTCATTATTGATGTGTTTGCAGATAAACATCTAAAGTTCTGTGAACTCTTGTTAGGTGTTATCGTATCAGATACTATCCACTTCCTCACTGTAGAACGAGACGTCAATACACTAGAATCCATGCACACATATAAAGATATGAAAGCTGTACTATACTTTATCTAGCATATATTCTGTGTAACGAAGAGATTGTTAGACTAGTCAATAACTTGTATACCTAAACATGTCGCTAATTAAAAATCATTTTAACAAACATTTCATTTAATTCCAGGTGGTTGGTTTACTTATGTATATATGTATGCAGTTATTGGCTTTTTGTTTTGTAATAAAAGCTTGTTGAAATATTGTATTCTGAGACTTCTATATTGTACCAAAAATATAATATTGAATAAAGCCATTAATGTTGAATAAAAAAATTTAATATCTCACAGTCCATCTGTCTTACTAGTGAATCATTGATTTAATTTGGACATTTGTTTCAGGGTCTACGGATAGATGTCCAAAAGCTGTAGTATCATAATACTTTTTATTCATGACTACTGTTGTTTTGCTTGTGTCAACTCTTGTGACTACAGCAGTCCTGTTTTTTTAAGTGAGCGTGGAGCTCTCAGTTCTTTTTATGAAATGTTTGGTGTAAGGTGTTTTTGTTTGGTCAGAATATGGATGTTTTTTTTGATGTAGTAATAGAAACTTTTACCGGCAGTTGTTCAATTAGTGGTTCTAGAATTGGGGCAATTTCTAGAGTGATGAGACATTTTCTATGAAAGTTGACTTTTTTCTAGTATAGTGATTTCATGTTCGTTTACTTTTCTGTATAAGAGTTTATGAAGTATTCTTAAACTATTAGAACTAGATTTTATTGTTAAGGTTTTCTTTTCTTTCTCTCTTGAGTCTATTCATTTTTTTTGTCGGCATTTCGACATATTTAAATAATAGCATTCTTTTTCAATAAAAAGGTTAAAAATGGTGGTTATACAAGCAAACAAAAGGAGTGACAATAAGATCACCCATGTCTCCGATTGTACCCGGTCTGTTCATGTCATATATAGAATCAAATATTTTCGCCTATGACATTAAACCACGAATTCGTCTCAGATATGTGGATGGTAATTTTTTCGATGTGAAAACATCTTTCCTACAAATGTTTTTTTAAACTAATCAATGCACTCTCATCCCACAATAAATCTACTTACGAGCATGAAAACAAACACGGTGAGATATAATTTTTAGTTAAAAGAAATCTAAGTGGAGCTCTTAATCTAATTATCTACCGAAAACCAATTCACTTGAATTCTTTTATTGACTTCAATTCAGCATATCCATTCGATGCGTAGGTCTCTCTCGATCTAAATCTCTTCAGAAGAGCAAACAAGATTATTACGTTTAAAGAGAATAAACAGAAAGAACAGACGCGTATAATTAACGTCTTAGAAGTTGGTAATTTTCCTATGAAGATTATTAAAAATACAATAAAACGAGATGATTTACTGCTAAGTAATAGTTCGAATGAAACACAATGGGTGACTTTTGAAGTTTTACTATGCCGCCATAGTACCACGGAACTCCAAGGATTCTTAAAACACCACAGAATTAAAGCATACTACTAAACAGCTAATACCCTTCGAAATGTCGTTCGTATAGAGTATAAGAGCCCTTGTATGTCAATACAGAATTGTGCTCTCGTATTAGAATATGTCGATTGTGATGCCTTCCATATTGGGGAGTTATTTCGTCAAATCTTGATTCGAGTCAAAAAACAGCTTGTCTCCTAAATAAAAATTAGGAACCATATTTTTAATTCATATTAGCTCGTCAATTTTGATTTTCATTCATCTATTTTTTTCATATTTCCTCTCTATTACTTGTATACTCGAAATTCGCCAAAATTATTTAATCTGTAGGCAAAAACTCAGTTTTATAAATATCATGTTCACTATCTTATCATGCTCGTATCTTATTTGTTATAGATTTCTCTATTTGGAACACGTCTTTGCAATTGTACATTGAAGATTTTTTTATCTCATAGTTAAATCACTCAAGGTTCAGTTCATGTACGAATCCGGATTCTGTTCTATTGATCACTGAGTGGTGATCAGTGTCATGTGTATCAGGTCCTTCTTAGTGCAGATCGAATCCTGTCCACCGAGAATCCGGCTTCATTTATTCAATATTTTAGTGATTACTTTAGACCACCTTTAATTCTTTTTTTACGAAGCTGTTTGAAAACATGTTAACCTTTTTTCTAGAAACTTGTTTTTGGGCTAATTATTTCCCTCTAAGTACTTGGATAAATCAAGTTTTTCATCAATCTTTTATTATTTACTAGTATAGAGCTATTGGTTGTTGGAAAAATCGCACACTATTTCTTGTGTTATTGGTTTTAAATTGTCGCCTTACTGATTGATACTATACGTTTGCGTAGATTTCGATCACATATAATCGGTTAATGAATTTAGCTCATCATCTTTATGTTTCCAAATGAAATGTTAAATCTCTCCATTCACTGACATGTCCACCAGATCATTTTACACTAAAGCTTCTTTAGAGTTTTTTAAAACAGTCGATTATAAATGTTTAAAAAGCAATCATTTGTCTTCATTGTTACACTGATTGTGAGCTTATATGTCTTTACGATAAAAAGATATCTATTATGATTATTACTAAAAGATTTTCTGTGCCAGTGAAATGCACTTTCCCACAGTTTTTATCGTTTGCTCCCTTGTATATTATACTGTAAAATATATAGAATATCAGCTTGCTAGAATATATTTTAAAAGGATACATTTCAGTTGACTCTACTAAACTTTTGTTTATTTGTAATTATCTACGGGAAAAGTGTATTTATCAGTTCTGTTTTTTCACTTTAGGTAAATTGAATATTATTATTTTCACTCACAATCAAATTTGTCTAATTTTCACATTACAGCTAAATGGTATTTCATGATTTCATAAATGTCAGTTGAATTGTTATCATTCTGTATTGTTTTTTTCAGGGCTGTTGTTTAATAATGTTACTTTTTCTGACGAAATACTGTGGAAACTAACCCACTCTTATGATCATCTACTACTAGTTGTACATATATGTATTAAAGTGTGTATGCATGCATTCAGTTTATATGATATATATGATATTCCATTCTGTGTGTGAGTTTCTTGCGAATTTCTCTCGGTTTAAGGTAGCTAGCTAGATGTTTGTGTGAATATATAAATGTTGATAATGCCAATACTGAAACCTCATTCTTCTGGTTACAGCATATACTAAATCACTTATTTCTGCGGTTTATTCTTTCTAATTCGTCCACAAACCATCCCCTTTTTAACAAGAAAAGTAAAATGAAGGAGATCATTTGGGAAAATTTTCTGTATATATATATATATATATATATATATATTAATTGCGATAACTCCTTTAGATATTTTCCACGTATATTAGTGATATAAAATAAAGAATGTAGTAAATAAATTTTATAAAGGAATCAGTTCCCTAGCATGTGTCACATCACAAACTGCCCTGTATTTAATACAAGATTTTATTGCTTAGACATAAATTCATTTCATGTGATTTCGGTTTCATTTTGTTGCTATTTGTTATTGAATTTATTCAGTTTGATACACCTATCTATAATGCAAAATGCTGAGGCAAAAAAAACGTTGATCAATTTACATTTCAGAAAACTGACATCAAAAGAATATACTTATGTGCGTTTTTACTTCATTAGAAATAAATAGGAAAAGATTTATTTATGAGAATAAAGGCTTATCCAATGAGAGATAAAGGAAATAGTTTATAGATATGTATCGTAATTTAGATTGTCTTCGATTGATTCCAACTTTTTGCAGGGTCATGGTTTGACACTAGCTTATCATATATCACAAATTTATAAAACTACGTGAGTAATAAAGTATTTAGAACCTAGTGTGTTTGTTATCTTCGTCATAGACCTTGAAGTGTGCTAAATTTGTCATCTTTTTTTACTTTAGCGAACCATTCATTATCTTTTCTGGTGGTGGCCGTTCTCCTGCAGCTCAAACTGTCATTCATTCATCGGTAGCTACTACCAACGTCTCCTCGACATCGTTACTAAACTCAGATCAATCTGAAAGTGATCCAAATTTATCATCATGTATGGTTTCTAGTAATCATATGTTAACTATCAAAAGAGGCAAAAAGTTGGTTGTTTTACAATTGGATCATAAACTTGTTCAATTCACAACTCTTTGTGTGTCTCCTTACATAAGTGGTACGTAATAAATTTCTCACTTTTCTTATCTTACTATTGATTTAGATTAAATGAATTCACTATTTTTCTATTTGGTCCCAAATTAGATTAGTAAGTAGGTATTCTTTCAGCGGGAACTCTTTCATTTCCATGTTTCTTAGAAATGACTGGCTGTGTACAATTACTTGTTATTGAACTGAATAATGTTGACTTCTAATCACGAATTATGCGATATTCAACAAAAGTGAAATACGCCATATCGCTAGTTGATTATAATCTTGGGTAAGATCAAATTTAAGGTAATTACTATGAGACTTGAACGTTTGTTATGAACATGCTATCTTAATCTAAAACAGACTATTATGTTGGCAGTCTATGGTGATTCACATTGGGTTTTTTATTGTAATAAGCTTTTAGTACGATTACAAAGACCAAACAGTAAATTTGAATTTAAAAGTAGGAAAGTTTATATGTTCTCCTCACTTTAAAATGCTGTGATATCTATGTACATATATGTAAATACTATCTACTCCTCTTTTACCATTTATGACTTACGTTCTGAAGCGCTGTTTCCCCTTGTACTTCACTGTATCGAGTTTTATGTAATTTCTTTAGTTTGTAACCAGGAGACATATTGTAGAAGATGCCTAGCTGTATATTAATTTACACAGCATGAATGCATATAACCAAACTCTTAGTTTTCATTAAGCATTGAAGGAATTAAAGTTTCCTTTCATCTTGTGAGAGCTCAATCTAACTATCGGAGTAACCCATGGAATTTTTTATGAAAACTGCAATTTTTTTCGTATTTTGTTTTTAATATACCATTCAGTTTAGTGTGTTTGCGGTAGCGATGTTAAATACCACCCATGAACTTGTTATTATTGATCATTTAGCAGATTTTTCAAATGAGGCTTCTCTTCCATTTTTATATATACGAGTTATAATTTTTCACCAAACTTTTGTAAAATTGTCTACAACTTCCAAATGTTAATGGATAAAAAAACTGCTAAAGCAAGTATCTTGTTCATTGGATTTGTGAGATACTAAATGACCGAAATATATATCGGCAGGTTTTTCGGTTTTCTGATTTGTTTAATTATGTAAGTGTAACCCTTTCAGACAACTTCAAAAACACGGGAAATGACATGTATTCTTCTGATTTTTTTACTCAACCTGTTTTTCATAACTATCGTACTTATATCTGATATTCTAATTTATAATCGAGTTACAGATCTATTTGCATTGAGGACAATCGTTTCATAAACTGCCGTATAGTTGACTAATATAATATCGTCACTCAAGTAAACCAGTAGATGATCACATTTACATTTGTTTTGTTAAACCAATTCATTTTACTAAAACTACTCGATGATACTGTTTTATTTGAGCTTAATGAAAACAAAAATGAGCTGCAAAATTACGGTTGTTTATAATCTAACCTTACTGCTTGATCCTTATTTATTCCAAATCTAGAGATATGTTACCTTAAATAAGATCAGCATAAAACGATATCACACCTAATATGCGGTAGGTTATTATTGAAATAAAGTATCTATTCTTGAGATGCATTTGCCTTTATGGATAAAAATGTTCCAGGAATCATTTTATTATAATGTTAAGAACACCAACTAGAAGTGTTACGTTATTCGTTTACGTTTGTGAATGGCATTCGTTTTGTTTATTTCATTCTTATTTGGACAAGAAATAAATTAATTTAACAATTCATAATGCTTGTCCCTCACTGGTTTGAAATCATGTTTAGGCCGTCTAGAAGGCCCATCCGCATTGGTAAAATCCTTGTAAGTGCGCACTTAAGAGATACAAGGAAACGACTAATTCAGGACTACAAGTTATTCACAATTTAATTTCTGTCGTAATTCAAATACAGTAGAAAAAATAGGTAAAGATTCAACGTTCAATTTTGCAAATTTATATCGTGCTAGGAAAAACTTGTAAATAATTATAAATTTAGCTTAAATTGTTTCGTGCAGACATGAACAGAGTAAAATATATTTCTCCCAAATATTATTGTCCCTAATCAGTAGGCTTCGTTGTGGTCTTTCACAAAATTTTACAAAATATTCACTGTCTTCTTATATTCTTAAATAGCGAGGTTGTTTATGATCAATTCGTATTTTCAAATAAATGCTTTCTGTCTGGTTGCACACGCATAATTAAATGTCTAAACTACATGCTTAGTAAAAGATACCGGTTAATATAAACCGAGTGTTTGATCTTATTTTTCACTCATTAGGTGGATAATACTTACATCTAGCTAGCTGTTGATACTTATCTGGAGACTGAATTAATACTACTGACGAAACATTAACTGTTATCATAGTAATCACTAATATGAAGCTGTATTCGAAATCTTTTCTGATACGTTTACATTCTGAACGGTAATATTAATACTTATTATTTTTTCAGAGACAATGGATCCTTATGCAGTTGCCATATTATTACAAGAAGATCTTGTTGTTATCGATCTTTTATCTGCAAAGTAAGGACACTGATTGTTTTTTCTGAGTATCTTTTGCTTTTAAAAAAAAATTCCTTTGAATATATTTGAAGCATTTACCAAATTTGTTTTTAATTTTCAAGCTTCGCAACATTTGAAAACCCATATCCAATGGATCTGCATAGTTCTCCTGTCACCAGCTGTTTATATTTAGTTGATTGTCCTGGAGACTTGATACCTGCTTTCTATTCTGTTAGCAGTCGTCGGAATCGTACTCAAAGTGGAACGTGTGCTGAACCTGATGTGTTCAGCAGTCGCGAATGGCCTATTACTGGAGGAGAATGGCGATTGAGTAGTCAACAAGTTCCTGAATTAATCATCACAGGGTATTTCATTAATAACATTACTCGTTAATACGTTTAGTTGTTTTTTTGTTGACTTTTATATTAATTGTTCCACTGTTTGGTGAACATGTTTAATAACGAAGGGAAATGAGTGTAGTTACCTTGTTTCAGCTTCTATATCTATTACTATTCTCTGATGAGAATTACGTTTACATTTTAATGAATTCTGCAGATTCAATTTTCTTGCCTCAGTTAGGACAGTATAATTACCCTGAAATATTTTTCACTAAGTACTGTCCCATTGAGAATTTGCATCTTGAATTAGGTAGTACACAGTTTCTGGTAATTTTCAGATATTCCTGTTTACGAATGGTTTGATTGTGAATTATAATGTTCATAAAAGGAATCGATTATTAGGTACCATCACTTAAGTCAATTACTAAGAGATTTCAGCGATATCAAATCTCTAATCTTATGAAGAGTAAAAGTATATGAGAAAGGGTAATTCGTTTTATGCTAATTAAAATAAGTATATCATTGACCATCTATTCATTATGGATATAGTCCTGTTTCAATAATGTAGTGAAGCTTTTCATTTGTCCTGCGTGTAACAAAAATTATTCAGTTTTATTCGATGGAAAGTGTATTTGTGCAGTTAATTTTATTTTTAGATCTAACATGTATCTTTCCTTACAAATCTGAGGAAAGCAGACGATGTAGACATTGGTTAATGGTTGATAGTAAAGGAAATTATTTAAATTTCTCTTGGGTTCATGGCTTCTCATAAAATACCGCTTATTGACAGCTATGCTTTGAACAATCAGTTCTAACCATTCATTTACTTTTGATGGACTGAAATGAGTGGTTGATGGTGTCTATTTTCCTGATAAGAATTATCGCATCAGTTGGTTTCAGTGAAGAAGCATATATATATATATATATGTATATATATTTTATTATTATTATTATTATTATTATTATTATTATTATTATTATTAGAGTCTTGTATAAATGAACAGCATACCAACTTGTTAGATGAAATCATTGCTGTGTGAATGGATTTGTTAACAAAAGCGACACGAATTATATCACTTTTATTTTCCACTGTAGAAAAAACATATTGTTTTATAAAAAAAGTCACTAGACAAATTATTTCGTTCGTTTCTTCATATGTATCTTTAGTGACTAAATGTTTTCGCGCTATGCGAATTGTGTCAACACTTGCATCTACTTCATTATTTCCGATTAAGAGCAATGTTTACAAGGACTATTCTCTCTTGAGATGTTTTCTACATGTTTTCTACAAAGCGAAGTGAATAATATTTACCAAACCATTTTAGACTAGACGTGACTGTCCATTAATATAGATTCTGTGCATTCATATTTTAAAAATACCTATTATGAGCTACAGGTGTAAATTATATTGACTGGCTACATGATTCTCAATTAACTCGCACTCCCAGCATGTTACAACTAAATCTTAAGCATTAGACGAATATGTTCGAATTCATATAAAAAGTATTTCCATTAGTATTATACCACGATTGTAGAGAGGTTTAGATATTGTACTTAAATGCTTTAGTTTATTAGTTAGATCTGGCATTTGATTCATTATTGTGTTTTGTATAAGCTTCCCCAAACAAATTACCACATTTTCGCTATACACATTTTGTAGACATGCTGATGGATCTGTTCGATTTTGGGATGCATCCGAAGGTTTGTTTATATTTTTATTTACTTTAGGTTGTTCTTCAATGTCACACTATTTCTTTGCGATCGTTTATACACCGATTGCTTCTGTTTACTCGTTCTACCTATGACTACGATTTCACACTTGCCACTCATGCAATTTATTGTCAATAAAATAGTAGGGGAAGTTAAGAATGCGCCTTCGGATTTATTTTTGTAAATCAAAAGTAGAGTACTGCAGTAGGAATAATCATGTAGTTCCAAACAGACTAAAATTATTTACGTACTCGAACGCGCATTTTTATTCGTGAAAAACATTCCTTCTGTGGTTAATCATATTAATAGATATGGTCTCAAATGTAGGGTAACCGCCAATTTAAAACCACATGTATTATTTTTCTTGACACAAAAATTGTGTCTTTAAGTTTTATTGAAAAAAATATGACAATTGAGTTAAATCATAGTATGGGTTAAAGTAATTTAAGTTACTGGACTTCATATTAAGCGTATTGGAATTTGTTCAGGTAATTTATCAATCCTATTTCTACTGTTTTCCTAGTATATGTTACTTGGAACTTCTAACCAACAATTTTATCGCTCCAACCACTAATAAATTTGTAGTTCGTCAAATAATTCGAACTACCAATCGATGACTTAAAAATTAAATACATATTACCTCTAAAGCAGACATGTTAAGATAGGCATTGTCCTTGAGTAAGGCCTAGTAAATTTCTTTGACAAAAACTTAAGATTTCGTTCACTGATTCATCTTTTCCCAACAGTATATATGTCCTCAATATTACTCACCTGGTCGCTTCACAGGATGTAGTCGTTACTTTATATTGGATCCCAACTATCGCTTATGTCTATGTTTCCTACTTTTGATGTGTATCACGACTTCAGAGTAACACTACTTGAAGTGATACACGATTTATTCACTTCTAAATGGTGAACGTGTTTCGCTTTTTCATCATAAGTTATCTACATATTCAAGCTCACAGCTTTTTATAAAAAAAATTTCATTTTGATCTTTTCTAGTCTCGTTAACGCCACTTTATAAGTTTCGTACATCAAAGTTGTTTGCAAACCCCCTAACTAATACATCTAATCCTGTTGAAACCGGCAGTTCCTCACTTTCTGATGCAAAAGATATCAATGCTCAATATTCTTCCATTTTATTAACAACTGAAAGCGACCCTCTTGCCATACATTTTATGCACTTCTGCTCTGATTCCCGTAAACTATTAACTGCAAGCAGTACCCATACTTGTTTATTACACTTCAGTCGTCGAGAAATAAATCTTGAAACTGCAGTAAGTTATTTTAATCAAAGCGTTTTATTTCTAGTCACGAATCGTTTTGTAGTCATAGAAACATATTGTAAAAAAATCTGATCATTTGGTTATTAATATCATTAGGTCTGGTACAAAGCTGCATCACTCCAGATTCCCACATATCAAGCTGAAACTGCAATAGATATGTAATAGCAGAATTCCACGATGTTGGTTTGTATTAAGTACATTTGTATTAACGTATTCAACTGTATTGTAAATATAAGTGTTGTTTGAAGAGGAATGAGCCATTTCATGCTTGTGAAAAATGTTAACCTGAATTGTTCACATCACTTATCTGTGTCTCTAAACATATTTTGAAATGAAGTTGCTATTTCATTTTAGAACTCAGTCAGTTTATAAATAAAGTGTTTACTTTTTCGTCATCTTACGATGTGTTATACTATTAGTACGGATTGCTAATTTCTACTTTCCTGTTTTTCAACTTTTCCTATAATATTATTTAACTAATAGTATTTAATGGATGGTTTTTATATGAGTGCGACTTTTGAAATTATTATCCGAAAACGTGAGTATTGGCTGTTTCATTCCGGATATGGTTTAATTCTGGTTACGAATTCCTCCTAGGGCTTCAGGATTTCTTCGGGATCTCATCTAGTGAGCTCATGATTATAACAGTGATGAAGTTTTGTGGAGAAATGTTTAATTTATGGCTGGTTTTTGTCATAGAATGACCTTACCGGGGATAACATTAAAAGCTGGGGAGAAACCATTAACTGTTTTGGTATATCACTAATTGATTTAAAATGGGAATGTGTGTCAGTCCGTTGGTCTAATCGTTGAGATCACTCTACTTAACGTGAGTTTCCTTGGTTCTATCCTTGGCAGGGTCATTTTTCAAACTTATTGAATCTCTCATATCAGGATGAATTGATCGGTGACTGCAGTCAGCTTATGATGTGAATTTGAATCTTTTTGTGAGGCCATATTTTGACCTTTTACGAGCGAAATATTGTTTTATTGATCTTATCATAGTAATTGGTGAACGTATGACATGTTGGTAACAGTGTAATTGATTGATAGATAACGTATTGCCGTCAGCGACTTCATATAGCTTATTCACCAGAAACAAAGTGTTAAGTCATTTGATAACAGGTTTTGAACTACTCAACTGTATTAACACTACACAATCGTTTGTTTATCAAGTAGTTAGGATGCATTTTGTCTTGTGTACTTTATCTCTATTTTTTAGTGATATCAAGTAGTTATTTTTACATTTGCATTATATCTGCTTCAGTGATTACAATTTATCTCATTCTCTGCACTGTTTTTCCTTTCTTATAAAAGGATGCAACAAGTTACATACTACCTTTCTGCTGGTATGTACAACCATTGCATACACTTATCGTGTATTATTCTTAGTGGTAACTGCTTTTCGTGGTCCCTTTAAAACCATGTGGTGAAGTTCTTTTTGTTACTTCCTCTTGTAACACATAAAATGAAGAAATTTCCTAATACTATTTATTGCTTACTTTCGTCTATCGTTCTCTCTACCTTTGTTCATAGCTGAATGATTATGCTTATTGTCAATTATAAATTTTCATTTGTATATTATGCATCATTCTGTTTCCTTGCCATTCATTTAAATGCATATAAACTAAACAACTTAATAGATATGGTTTTGTGCTGTGTATGTGTGTGTCCGTTTTTTTCATTGCTCAGTCCTTTTTTGCTGTTTGTTTTTCATAGTTTGTCTGAGGAAAAAAATAAAATACTGTTCTTGTTTGATAATTTTCAAAGTTAATTTTCAATTCACTTTGTTTGTTATTAATTCCCTAATGTCATTAATCTCTTCTAATTCTTTAAGCGTTTCAATGTGCTCACTATTTATAGTGTTGCATTTTCATACATGAATGGGCTGCTAACTTAGTGAAAGAAATTTTTTTCACTGAAGATATTCATTAATTTTTCTTGAATTTCTTACAGTTGCCTAATTCTTGTTAGTAGAAGTGGTAGAGATCGTCTGGTATACTTTAACCAATGAATGAGATACACTTTTATAGTTGCCACTTTTTCCCGACATCTATGATTCCGCAATCTGTAACTCTATTGTTGTAAAATTCTTCTGTTTTCTCAGTATTCATTTTTAGTGTTTAACGCAGAATTGCAGTGCCTTCATAAAATGTGAAAACCATACATTAAATGCTTCATTTGTAAATCTTCCATCAACTGTCCTTTACATCCTCCCTGAATCTTCCAAATCATATTTCCTTCGTGTTCCCGTTTCTCTTTTCTTCAGTACAATCTTACCAATCTTCTTTTGACGGCCATCCCACTTCCTATTGATGTTACATACTACTTATGTATGTCGACATAAGTAACATGTACTACAATTTACTAGAATATCTATTTGACATTTAGGCATTATTATTGTTTCTTTTTACTCAATGATTTTGTAATTTGAATTGCTTTTGTTGAATTTTGTTCTCTGAGTTGAGTTGTGTAATCGCGCGATCCCGAAACCACAAAAACTAAACATCTCACCACTCCCAGTTGTCTTGATCTCTGAAATCGCTATGTAGAATCTGTCAAAATAAATTTGAAGAGCATTGAGTCATTAAGCGAATAGTTCGATCATTATATTAAATCTCTCATACAGATTTAGGATCAGATTAAGAACATTCAAATCATCACGATCTAACACCAATAAACTATTCAGCTGTGTTAATATAACTTTACCAAAACCATCCTCTTAATCAACAAATTTTCGATGTTATTTTGACCTTGCCATGAGTAAATCTTATGTATGAAATGTACTATTCGGTGTATGTGATAAAAATTGATGTCATTATAATTTAAATTCTGATATTAATTGTGGGTATTTCATAGTTGAAATGATTTATTAACTCTTGGAAAATATATTTTATTTCAAAGTGAGACCATTAATTAGTTTCGTGATATGTATTTCCCCATTATCTCCTATTCAATTTTAACAATATCTGACTATTTCAACTTGAAAATTCATTCCCTTCACTATTCCTTCTTAAAATTTTCACACGAAATAGCATCCTGATAATGTTTGAGCTTTATCATTAGATAAATTGAAATACCTCTATTGGAATATTTTTCTTCATGGTCTTGTTACTTTTTTTAACATCTTTTTTGTGTACGGCCAAATTTATCTTTATCTTAAAATGTAAAGCAGTTCATTGTTTTACCTAATTGTATGGCTTTTATTTTGCTGTCAGTTTACTTACTATTTATTCTTTTCTCAGTGGTTTCCGATATTTCTATTCGTATATTTCAATGTACTGCATGCAACACTTGTGGTAGACTTGATTTTATTTTTTTATTTATTGTTTCACTGTAAATTGTTAATCGCATAGTAATTAGTCTCATTATAATTTGTAGATCATATTTTAATCTGGAGGCAATGGATGGCTGTTTCATTATAATATGGGACTCCTCAGCAGTGCACGATCCTGCACGCGAGACTCGAACCCAGGACCGTTAGTTTAGCACGCGGATGTATAAACTCTAGACCACTGAGTCGTCATCAAGAGGTGTTAATTTCTAACTCTAATCGATCCATGATGTTGCTCAGCCCTTCATCCAATGTCTGAGGCAAATTAACCGTGCACGCACGAGACCGAAGGTCCTGAGTTCGAGTTCTGCGTGCTGGATTGTGAATACGTACTGCTGAGGATTCCTGTACTGGGACGAAACGGACATCCAATGTTTCCAGGTTTTCACTTGTGGTCTTACTTGGATTGACTCGTGAATTCAACTTTGAAAATTCTGAAATCTCTACAAATCCATATACTGGTGACATTTTGACCGACTTTCTTCGTGTTACTCATACGTAGCTGTAAAATGGTGCCATACGTTCTTATGCAACATGCTTATAACTAATTCTTTCTACTACTCGTGATATTGTGACTAATCCTACCGATCATAAATTTGTCTTCATAATTTCATCTCTCTGTGCTCATAGAATGTGGTAACTGTAGCCGATGCAAAAATATGCCAGGTTCTGTTCTGACTGACTAATTGACTCTCAGTTATACCTAAAAAAACTTTTCTACTTATCAAATGAAGGTATTAAAATAATTACTTTGGCTACATTACTAGAAAGTAATTATTAGGTTTTTCATTCATGCACTTGTTATCTCACGAAATGTGTCAGTCAATCATAGTAACCTAGAGACTGACATAAATATGTATCATCCCCAGGTGTTACCACTTCATTACGCGAAAACGTAATGAAAAAGTAATTAACAACGGATTGGTTGTAATAACGGTATCAGTAATACTTAGAAGGATTGAACGGAGAATATAGTTCTTAAGGAAGGTATGGAATAGTAGAATGAAATTCATTATATATTAGTGAAACTCATAATTTCAAGTAAGATAAAAGAACGGTTCTTATTCTTAACCTTTATGGTAGGTTTCGAACCAACAATTTAAACTAGTGATCATGATTATCTATCGAACCCAAACCAATTAGTTCAAAATTAACAACATGTTACAGATTAAAGGTAAATAACTTGTTTATTCGATGCAACATCTTGGTTTGTTTTCCCCTAGCAACTTTCCATTATACTCCTGACCTAGATATAGTCTGATTTTCACCAAATAGTCTTGATCATCATAAAACTCTCCATATATACTCTTTTTGGTTAACTAAATTTGTGTCACATCAAAAAAATGATACTAAATTAATTGAGTTCACGTCGGCTGTTTTGCTCCTCCACGAGGGGTAACTGGCGTAAATAAGTAACATCGACTTTACATGAATGCTCTTGAGTTACTGAGCTCTAGAATTTATATTGTTTGTTATCACAAAATTAGCTTGGCAGTATCTAATCAAATAATTTAACCACTCCATATGTATGCTGTAATGTTTATAATTTAATTGAAATCTCGTTTTCATATCATACACCTTTTTTGTCTAGTTGGGTGTATGAATTATAAATACAATTTAGACTTATTTTTTTGTGGTCTACAATCAGCTAGAAGTACTACTAGCATGAAAAAATATACATAATCTGATAACCTGTATTTTTAGACTTTTTATTCTATGGGAATTATATGTTCCTTTTATAATATATGTATCCTCATTCTCCTGTCTATGGTATAAAATATTAGTACATAAATACACCTCAACATTTGGTGTCATAGAAAATAATAGAAATATTATCTAATGCCATAAGAATTTTCATATGACCAAATCTGAATTGAAAAACCCTTGTTTCACTCATGATTTACTCATCTGATGAAAAAAAGGAAGTTAGACAAAAGTGGGCTAAGTGAATATGCATATTTTTATTAGGTGTTTAAGTATTCTAAGAATATGTCGATTCCCTGGGGGATTTAAAGTTCTTATCGCCTGATCTCACTGTACAGTTTAAAGCAAACTCATCTGTTTCATATTGCATAAGAATTGTTTATCAAAATTTGAAAGCATATGATATGCCTGAATATTTAGTTTTGTGCAGTTCTATCTTAATAGATCACAAATGCGTTATGGATTTTACGATTTTTATTTTCATCAGTTGATATCTATCAAAAGAGACATTGATCATCAATGAGTACATTACTTCTATTTTGTATCATCTAAAAATAATTATGCACCACCAGTTTGTAGCTACTTCTTTAGTTTTACATTTATGGAGAGTGTTCAATTCATTATTCCATAGAAACTTCTTTCTTTTCACTAAAAGCTGGTTTGGAGTTATATTGGAGTGTTATTTTTACTGATGTCAACAGAGTTATGCACAACAGTTGATTCTACTGTACGTCATATTACTAATTACTGTATTGTTAGCCGTCAAACCTTTTTCAGTCGTTACTTGTGTTATCTGTTTTATTCATGTAGTTTCAGTCTACTTCATTTTTCAAACTTTCTACTAGTTGACTTCAATGTATCGAAATTGAGATTATTTGTTGTTAGTATTAGGGTTTATAGGTTACAGTCGTTTTTCTGAATAAAATGTAGTCCGGATATCCTAATGAGAGTAGCTCATTCGGATTGATTCACATCGAATTTTTCTACGTTTACTATCTGTATTGAGGTTGGGTAGGTTTTCGACGATGAGATTTAATTTTCCGTAACTACTCTACTAATGTACAAGCTTTAACATAAACCAGTAATTCACATAGCAGCTTTATAGCTGTTTCTATATTTGTAACTGATTTCATACACTTCACCATGAGTACTGAGTTATTTGGTTGGCACTGAAAGTAAGATTTAAAAAGGGTTCAGGTGTCCGTAACACAAAAAATCAAAGTAGTTCATTGCCTGTATTTTGAATAATATCATAAAAAATCTTATTTCAAATTTGACGATTGCTTGTAAATGTTGATTTCAAAGTTAGATCTTATTTAGAAGACTTCAATATAATTCTTTCTCTTATTCTTCAATCATGTTCTAGAATTATAAATAATGGTGCCAAATCAAAATCTTGCTGTTATATTCAAAATATCGTTGATGTGTTTATAGAAAATCAGTAATATACTTAGACTAAGGCGTATTTTTGAGAGGTGATGTCATACAGTTTAAATATATCAAAGATGGGAATTTTTATACGCCTACCTATCTAAATAATAGTAATCAGTTGTAGAAGTCGATAGTCTTTATACAACAGGAATCGCAATCTTCATGACGCTGATTTATTATACCTAATAACACCTTAATATTAACTGTTCGTCTGAATAAAAAATAAAACTGATTTACTTAATTTCAAAATGTGAAATTTAGAACTATAAGCAAAGAGCTAAACGTCTTTATCGATCATACTAGCTGATAATCTTACGCGGTATTTTTAAAATGTACAGGAAATAAGTATTCCGTGTTTGGTTGTAGAGACTCTAAAACTTCACTAAAATCATGAACCAATCAAGGTTAGACCAATATTTTAAACCTGAAACGGCCGTCTAGTGCTTCCAGATTTAAAAACTTCACTCTTGTTAGAAGTAAACGTTTTTCTCATTTTTGGGAACTTAAGATGAGAGTCTGTATGTATTAACTGTTGCGTCTAATAACTGATGTATCCAAATAAGTTTATATTCTAATAAGCAGTTTTGTGTTTAAAATAGTGTTAGATGACTGAAATTTACTTATTCTACTTACTATTATTGTAATATTCTATGTATTCGGTAGAATATAGTTCTTCATCTTTAATCTGTTTTCCCGAAAGCAACAATGTAACGTTAATCGGTTAATTGGTTTCTTTTTTCACTCTGAATAAAGCGTGATGTTTTTTTGGATTATCCCTCGACATTTCAGATCCTTTTTGTGGACACAACATCGATCTAATGTAATTATATTTTCAAAACTCACTTTTTTCAAACAGGTAGCAAACGGTTTGTGAATATTAAATTCTCATGTAAACTGTGACTGATACCGATTTATATTTATTCAGGGCCAAAATAAAAATACTCTGTTCACTAGCAGTAAGTTTCATATTGCTATCCACTATATGGTTGCAAAAATGTTCATTATTACCTTTCTGTACTTATTATTTCGACCATTTAATATATTTATAAATTTCAACACTAAAATATTAGTTTGTCATGTTTTTGTCAAGGCACTTTCGGCAGCTATTTCGATTTCAGTTGGTTTAATGACTGTACTAATAAGAGGTAGGACAATTTGTTTTCACTTTTTTACACAAGCCACGACATTATTGTTTCCTTCCTGAATTACCCAGAAATTTGTCCATGAGAAAAGCTTAAGTACCTCATAAATTCGAAGGCAACTTACCCAGTAATTAATTTTTTCATGAACCCAATTTCGTTGTGATTTTTTACATATATTTATTTCCGCCTTTCTACTCCTTATCTCTTTCTTTTGTATTCATCAAATAAATAACTTCCCTTCACACTACTCGTTTCAAATCGAATTTCATATCACTGTTCTTCATCATCATCTCCTTGACAATTACGTAACGTTTGTTTGGAATCTTCTGGTCTATCTTTTCACTAACATGTATCAAGTGATAATAAATGCGTTTGTTCAAAGCTTCAATAGATGATCCATGTTCACTGAACTGTATTTTGCATTTTTTGTTTAAATTTTATATCATTCCGATAATAAAAACATGATTTATACTTTTCGTTCAGCGAACATATTGTATCATTTCATTTTGCTAATCTATTTTCCTGCAATTTCAAATTTAAGCTCTTCTTCACAAAGAGCTGAACACATCGTAAGTTCATTTTCTTGGTTTTCATACGCATTTTCATCTATTTTATTTATGTCAGGTTCTGGATATCAATATGGCTTATGATGGATTAGATGATATTGGTTTCGCCTATTCAACTGGTGATACTTTCTCTGATGATCATTTGAATACTGCTGAAAATGTATTTGGTAACATGACTAAAGACACTGTCCAACAGTCATTGCCTCACGTATCCAGTGGAAGTGTTAGCTCTTATCAATCTGCGTCTCCAACTGATAGAGTGAGTTTTTTCAAACAATGTAAAGGCATTTGGTTTTATTTTAAAAGTATTTCAGTTATGTCAACAGTTAGATTAAAACGTTTTCAATGACTAACATTTCGCCTTAATCATCCAACGGATTAAATTCCGTTCTATGTAGTAGATTATCGTAAAAAAATCCTGTATAAAAATATCACTTTCCAGGATAATTTTTATTTGTGAATGCACTTTATGTCAACAAACCATTTTTGATTTATTCGTTACTTCACTACGGAAAGAGGAAATTGAACATTTTGTAAAGTTTTAACATTCTTATTGCAAATACATGGTTACATAATTAATAATTCTCAGTTGTGCTTAATTTCCTCACGTATCGTGCCGTATCACGTTCATCTCCTGAAGAGTACTTATTAAAAATGGGATTTGTGTTAGATAATTGTAAAAAGCGGAGTTTTTTTCATGTCAGATATTATATTTATCATAAGCGAATGGAGATAAATATACGTTTCGTTAGGCAATTCAGTGAATCACAGTCAATCTGCGTTCTGACACTAATATATGTCACCCTAATTTTCTGTAACGTACATCTACGCAATGAGGAAGGAAACTGACTAGATAAGGAAATAATACCAACTGAGGCAGGAAAACTTTACATGAGGATAAGAGTTCACACGGAACAAATGAAATTGAATAACGACAAGAATGGAATGAAACTAAACTGAATATTTTTAGAGGAAGATAACAAACTATCGCAGCTGTAAATAAAAATGATAAAATTGTAAACTAAAATTTCTGACGTTTTTTAACTCAATGTTAGCCACTTCTTCAGAAAATAAATAACCAAATAAAAATAATTAAATAGCACAAAAAGATCTTTGTATATAAATAGATTATTTTTATTGATAAAAATCTACCCAAGAATATCAAGTCAAATCTTGGTAATGATACCTGTCGTAGCTGGTTCCACTATAATTGATTTTGACACATCACTCAGCCTTTAACAACAGCATACGAACTTCAAGCGAGATTTTCGTCTGAATTCAACATACACATTTTTGTTATTCTGAAGCCATCTCCCTATCCATTTACCTAAAAATTTTCGAATTCCCCGTTTTTTGTAAACTGCGATTTGTATAAAATGAAAAACTTTAGTTTTAAGACACTAACTTCGTGTTATGTTTGAAGCGGTTACGAGTTCACTTAGTCTGTGAACGGAACAAATATTTGTGACCAGAGACCAATAAGCTATATATTCTGACGCGTACCAGACCCGCTGACTAGAGTGAGAAGTCCAAGTTGAAAGTGGGGAAGATATATTCCGTAAGCAGCCAGAAGCATAAGCAATCGCGACAGGAAGAAATCAAACGTATATATACAGTATAAAAATGTCCTTGGGAAGCGTTACAAAATAGCGTACTAAAAGATACAACGGACCAATAGCGTTTAAGGTTTTTCCGAGTGTGAAATACGACATGAAGATGAAAAGAGCGCTTTTGGTGCGAAATAAGGAAATTCAAATTTTCAAAATAAAATTACAAAAAAAGTTTATCAAGTGGGTTCTGGGGATCAAACAGCTCCAACATTTTGTATCAACTAAACTACAATTTTGAACCAAACGCTCTCTAATGGATAACTATTTTACTGTTTTAATTTTTTACTATTTGAAATTGTTTCTTAATCTCCTCTTTAAAAAAACCTTCGTATACTTTTTGTAAACATCTTGGTTTCTTAGGTTTCTTTCTTTTCTGTGCAAATCGATTACCTTGCCTTACACTGCTTTGAGTTCATTGTGAGAAATATTTACGACTTAAAATATCCCACAAAGTTTACAGGATCTTCTTGCATACATTGATTGCGTGAGTAAAGTGACCTACTTAACTTTCCTTCAAGTGTTATTTTTTTGTTATTTCTTTTCGTTTCGCTAACTTACCTAAACGTTAAACGATGTGCATGTAGAGTTGTGACAACATATTTTTATTACAGAGTTCTTTTCGTAACCGAGTTTCCTATATTAAATACCAGATCTACTAACTTTCCTTCTGATTATTTGATTTTCATTTATTTCAAATTTTGCGCCTTAAAAAAATCTGATGTTATTATTCTAATGAAAAGATCAATAAGTATGTAACTAATCCAAACTTTCTTCCCTGTGAAGTTTGATAAGTTATTCATGAATTGTTCAAAGCTTACTTAATAACAGTTGTGTTTTATTCCATTAGATAGTTTTTGTTTCGTTTTTCATAAGCACATTTGTGATTATTTGAAGTAATCATGTTCCTTGTTTTCCGAAGGTGAACGGTAAAAGTACTTAAAAATACTTGAGATTAGTACATCAATATTTTATAGCATTCAATGCACTTGGCAACTGTATGCACATGTTCGTCTTATTTTGTCGATGTCCTTTTCGCAAATTGAAAGATGCACACCATTTAAATGTATAAAAGCATGTGATTGAGAATTCAGTTAATTCTATTCGTTAAAAGAATAATTGTAATGCGTTTTTATTGGAAAATCAAAATTTTCTTTTTAGGTTAAATGGACATAACAGCTGCTCACTAGGTTCCCTGTGAGTACTGCTTAAACAGAATGATTTCTAGGTTATCAATATGATTATAAAGAACGAAAGTCAAAAAATGAATAAACTGTTACGAAAATAATTTTTTTCTGAATGATTATCCAAAATTATTATCAGTAATCTTTTTTGTGGTTTTTATTGTTTGTTTAGCGATTATATATTCTTGACATCTGTGGCTAATGTTTATGAATACCTATTGTCTCATATCTTTATCCGTATGCTTCCATCTAAGCATTTAACAAGATATATTTAGGGACAGTTATGACAATACCTAGATTGCTTTGATTTTTATATCTATCTCAAGAAATACGCTGATCGAAATTTCATGTTGTCTGCATATCTATATCACAATAAATTATGTCCTGAGTTCTACTGGTCTGAATGTTATCGGTCTTTGTTTTATTGTCTTACTGTAACTAGTGTGATTTTTCGCCTTTATCATGTATTCTTTATTTCAACTCCTGCATAAATAGTCCACAGGTCAAATAAATAATATAACCAGTTTGTATTCAAGTTTTCGGTTCAACTCATATTATCGGCATTCTAACTAGGTTTACTCATTTCTGTCAATCGAAATTCAATGGAGAAGATAACTGATCATTCAACAACTAACCCATTAATGGTTATTTTTTTGCGAATTGATATATCTCATATCTCAACTCTTGACATTGACTTGTAAGCGTTTCCTACTTCCCTAGAAATCTCACACGTGAGGTGAGCTCCAAACAAAGAAACAAAATACTCTTAGTATGAAAAGTTGCTTTACTCCGAAAGGACATTAATAGGTTTATGTATGAACCTGATATTCTGGAAGCTTGATACAGTTTGTCACAAAGTTGGTATTTATCCACTCAGGATATAGCACATAATCCGTCGTTCTTCCAGAACACAGGAGAAGCTTATTTCAATTGCCTGCATAAAGTATTTTTAGCATTTATTCAGCTTCTAAAGAGTTTTCTGAGGAACTCTCAAGTCCTACTAACACGAACTCTTGGAAACAATCAAGTTGTTGGCTGAAGTTCGTCATAACTAAACTCTCAATAGTAACATTTAGGAAATTCGTTCGATTGTTAACTGAATTACTTATAGAATCAATCTGTTTGTGTCATATTATTCACATAGCTTCCATTCTTTTTATCCTCATGCACATATATTGAATTTCAGTAAATTGTTTTTATTTTCCTTTACACTTCCGTTATATTTACATGAAAATCTTCATTTGGTATTCTTTTGGAAAGCTTAAGTTATCTTGCGTAAACAATTCTATATAAATACTTTTACCTTTTCGATGATGGTTGTGGTAGTTCTTCAAGTTCTAGCTCCGTACAGTAGAACTAACTGTCTTGACGTTCGTATTGAAGATTCTCACTTTGATATTGGTTGACAGTTGTTTCAAGTTCCATATGTTCTTCAACTGTAGGAATGCGGTCAGTGCTTTGCCAATCCTCGCTTTTACATTTTACATCAGATCCTCCTTGTTCATCAATGACGCTTCCCAGGTACGTGAATGTTTCCAACTCTTTCAGAGTTTCGGCATCAAGTGTGATTGGCTTGGCGTTCTTCGTGTTGTATTTAAGAGTCTTGCTTTTTCTTTTGTGTATGGTGATACCTATTGATACAGAGGCTGCTGCTACATTAGTTGTCTTTGTCTGCATATGTTGGTGTGTATGGGATAGAAGGGCTAGGTCGACTGCGAAGTTTAAACTGTCTGATTGATTCTGAGATGTCTATTGTACTCTGTGCTTCCCCTCAGATTTCAGGGTCTTCATTATCCAGTCAACTACAAAAAAAAGGAAGGGGGGGGGGTAGACAGCTTTTTCTGACTCTGGTCCTTACTGAGAAAAATGCATTTTTCAGCTATATTCCATGCACGACTTTGCACTGTAGTCCTTCGTATGAGTTCCGGATAATGTTGGCAATCTCAGAAACTCCGTGTTGTCGAAGAACTTTCCATAATGTTCTACTGTCCACACTGTCAAACGCCTTCTCATAGTCAATGAAGTTGATGTATAGTGACGAATTCCTATCAAATAATTGCTCCACGATGATTTTTAGTGTTGCGATTCGGTCTGTGCACGAGCGTTCCTTAGGGATTCCAGCCTGTTTATCTCGAAGTTGGGGGTCTACTGCGTCTTTCATCTGGTCCAGCAACACTGTTGAAAAGTTTTCCTGATAGTGACGACAGTGTGATGCCTTTGTAATTGTCCGCTCCGTCTTTAGCATTTAGATCTCCCATCAGGATGGTGAGGTCATTTCTTGGGCGCTTATCGAAGATTGATTGTAACCTCGAGTAGAAGTGATCTTTATTGTCGTTGTTGCTATCGTTGGTGAGTGCATAACACTGGATAAATTCCATTGTGATCTGCTCCTTCTTTGTTTTGAAGGACGATTTGATAATTCTCGATCTGTGAGATTCCTATCCTTTAAGTACATCACGTGCTTATATGGACAGCATCGGAACAACTCCCTGAGTGTGTGGAGCATTTTCCTCTTCGTGACCAGAGTACAGCAGCATTTGCTGTCCACCTTGTGTGCAATAGGTTTCGCTGATTTCAAGTGCTGTCAATTTGTATCTCCTCATTTCCATTGCTATTTGACCAGTCTTCCTGGTCTCCCACATTGTCCAGACGTTCCATGTACCTATAAAAATTGTTGCTGTGGTTGTTAGAAGGGGTATCGGTCTCGTGACTCACGAAGAATCTCGGATTTCATCCTGAGGCGTCATAGTTCTTCCTTCAACTTGGAGTGTAGAGTTTAACTGGTTTGGATTGTTTTTTTTCTGGTTAGCGTTATTTTAGCGGGTTAGTTTTCTACAGGATGGGATCTCTAACCCCATGTCCATCCCTCCTCCTTATTGTGGGCTTGGGACCGGCAGTAACTCTAGAAGAGCTACAGGCAAAGTTATATAAACGGTGTTGCCTCACTTTGATTTTTGACTTGTGTTCGGAACATAAATCTATTCTTAAAGTCTTGCCTTCCTGACCTTATATTTGGTTGTAATAATAACGAGGAGTTGTTGTGAATCATTTATCGTTCTATTGAATCCACTATAAAACATGTCCGTATTAGAACAAGGTTAATTTATTCCGTATTCTGCATTCACTGTATGTCCCAGCCGAAGACTAGTTGTTGTCATTAATCAAGTGTCAGCCGATATATTACTGTATCGCCTAAGTTAAATTTAGTTTCCTATTTTCTTTCCAGTTTCTTTTTTTTCCATCCGAAATGTAGCTTTTTTGTTTACCGACATCTATCTTTGTTATTTTATTTTCTTTGAGAAGAATTCAATAGATCGAGTAACGAAAACGTAAGATTTTTTAAAATTCTCCTTAATTCTTCTTTTCCAAGGTCTAATAACCTTGCTGATGATCCTGTTTTCATGGCGGATACTCTCGTTTTTTTCAGGTTTGTTGCGAAAAATCTTCACCCTACTGATCGTTCTAACTTTTTTTGTATTCACTCTCTGCGGCAATCTGCAGGTGATATGATGATTTTGGTATATCGGCCTAATTTCACTCCCTGAATACATTCATTATTAAATTTCAATCATTCTTGATTCATGATAATTAACGCTAATTAACTAGTCTGCATATACGATTCTCTAAATTTTTTCTGATGAACAATTTAACTTTTTAAATGAATTTACCTCTATTGCTCTACACTGCCCTTTACTTATCTTACTAACTTCCTAGTGTAGATATCAGCAGTTTTCATCGTTCATGTTAGGGTTTTTTTTAAGAATCAGATGAGGTTGTTGTAACTATATGAGTTACTTAATTTTTTTTTCTAGTTTATCATGGCATAATTTCTTCCCTCTATTCAGTTCCACTTTATTCATTTCACTCTAAAAGATTTTTCACCTGTTATTTTTCTCCATATATTCATTATTTAAAGTAGGGATGGCAAACGTGAAATATTGTTATATATTCCTTAGGGTCAAATTATCGCTTGCTTGGGGTATTTCTTTATTGTGAAACTAGTGATCTGTACAAAGTATACCCTTTTGCTTATCATATGTAGTATTAAAAGAGTATTCAACATTCTTTTTCCTTTGAATAGGATTTACGTGTGTTCGTTCCAGTACGTCAAGGTAGCCATCATTGGCCTCCAGGCTATCAACCACTTCTTGTTTGTCGTGTAGGCATACTTGGACTAAGCTTTGAATCAAATCTAAAGTCAAGTACTGATCCTACAGCTTCCTGTCTTATCCCACCGCCGTCTATTACAGCTATCAGTATGAGTTCAGCTTTTGGTTTGTAAGTTTCAAACTTCTTAATTATCGCACTTTGTTTACTTTTTGATTGGATCATCGAACACAAAGTAGTTTTAGGTGAAAAATATCTATTTTTCGATCTTTTCGTCATCTGTTTGTAAGAAAGCCTCTACTTCTCATCCTATTTAAATTGTTGAGACGAAATCACCTTTCGAAGCTGTAACGGTACGACCTAATCATGTTACCCGTTCATTAACTGCGTCCAGAATTTACGCAAGAAAAAAGTCTAATTTAAGTCTACTGAATCTTATAATCCTGATCACTAGTTCTTACTGAGTTATTTGTTTTAAATCTTTAGTTAAGTTCCTTGAGAATACACACCAGTTTCATTCTATTGATCAAACTACCCATGGTTATTTTGTGGAATGTTGCATCATCTTCTCTAGCCTCTTATGCTTTTAAATCTTTGAAATCCAACTCACAATCATTTACTGAGAAAATAATAGTCGTTGATGTTTAGAAAAGTTTATCCTCATTTAATTTATCATGTGTCTCATCAAATATTTATAGTACTGGAACTCGTCGGGCTAGAATATAAGCCTTCCAAATCACATCTGACAGTCTGTTTACATTCATAATGACAGTTCGTTTAGGCTTATTATAAATCTCAAGCTGTTGTGGTACACTTTAAATGCTCATCTTATTTTTTTACATCACTTTTTTTAGTCATCATGTACAAAAGGTTATTTCAATTTCCTTACAATCGTTTTAGTTATCATTCTAACAGCGGAACTATTACTTGTTTTTAGAATGGCTATTGGAAGTGAATTCGGCATCGCTGTTGTGGATTATGTTCACAAGTTTTGCTTGCTGTCTATTTCGTCTTCTGACCTATTAAGTGAGTTTGTGTGTTTCTGACTGTACTATCCAGTCTTTTCTTAATATACGTTTTTTTATTATTGGGGAGTTGTCGAAATTATTGTTTAATTTACAGTTTGTTCTCATGAAGCACCATTTAAAATCAAAAGGCAACTTGATAGCTTTTTAGTCATAGTCTTGAACTCCTTGGATTGGCAATAAAAAAATTGGGCGAACGTAATTATATTATGAACGCAAAATGTTGGTTGTAAAGAATCGGTCTTGGTACTCCATCATTATAGTTTTGGATAATGTGAATAGTCATAGTTGATATTTTTGTGATTTCACAACACGCATTACAATCTAATTAATCTATTTCTTACTCTTATTGCATTATTTATGAAACTCCATTTTATCTGTTCAATACTAACTACTTCTTAATCTCATCGATACTTTTGACCGGTTTAATTACAGTCAAATCTTGTTGTTAGACGATTAATATTGATGCTACAATGCTTTCTCTAACCATGCCTCTTCATCTCTTTTGATAGATTTTTTAGTCAAACTAGTAATTATCACTAGCATGGACAAAATCAGTAAAAAATTGCTGTCTCCAATTTTATCAGTGTTTATTTCTAGCGGGAGTTTCCTTTTTGTTTTTTTTTAATTGTCTAAATTTGCTTTTCGTTTTGTCTGATTTTTTGTTTTTACAAGTAGTATTCTTTACAATAAACGTTCATTACTACTGACTACTGCTGAACAAGTAGTATACATATTTAACTGACCATTTTTTGTCTAAGAAGTTAGACGTTATTGAGATGAAAATTCTCAAAATTTCTGTGGTAGGAATTATTTTTTTTTGCAATTTGATAGCGGAATATTTTACTTATACATTTCTTTATTGATTTCTTTTTTAATACAAGTATTAAATATGTGTTATCGGTGACGCTGTGATAGATTCAGTCTTTGTATTCTTCAATCTTTACGATTTCATTAAAAATTCACCATTCTGAACATAGGTTCTTCAAATAAGAACGCAATCATTCTTTTATCGTTTCATTCTCTTCAATCATTCACATGAGTGCTAGATTGTTAACTCTTTATTTCTAGATAAATTAAGTTAACCTTCAAATTCGTAATATTCCTCAGCGGAATATTTTCTTGGGTGGATAATCTTCTAGAAAACTTCTTTGTTCATCATTTTATTGTTTGTTGGTACCGAATAGTTTGACACACTTTGTTCATTAGGCGTATATTTAAACCAGTATATAATTAATTGTAATTTGTGAATATTTTTGTTTTAATTTTGTAAACAACCAGTCTGTGTTATTAGTTTCTGAAAACCACGAGCTACTTAATATACTAAGACCCCATGTGCCCTTCTATATTTTACCAAATAATGATTGTTTTAGTTAACTGAGATTCAGTTAGGTTTTTATATCATTTCGTCAATAATTTTAGTTATATATTTCTGCTCATTATCAAACAGTATATATGATTTTTTATCAATTCTACCAATATTATAAGTATTTATTTTTGCTTATTAACAAAATCCATCAGGTCGCGGTCCTATCAATCTAACTGGGTCGTCTGCTTCAGGTGAAGTGAAGTTCTGTGATCAGGTAGTTTATTGTGTCTTTGTCAGTTGAACTCCCATTACGATATGACCTTTGTATTTAACCTTTTTAAAAAAAAAGGTTTATATGCAATTAAATGTTGAATAACAAAGCGATCATTTTAAAATTAGTTGAAACGTTTTCTTTACCTGTTGTATCCAGATGTATTCCTTTTGTTTTCATTTCAAACAGACCTTATTTTTCAACATTTAGCTTTAAAAAAACTGATCGAAATCGCTAATTTCCCTTTATTTATGCTAGTTTCCTGTGAAGATTCAACTATATATCAAGTCGATTCATATATATTAGGTTAATTAGTTTAAATATTCACACTGAAACATAGTTATTAACATTTATATTCAATGCACATTCTTCATTTTAAGATGTGCTCATATTTTTCTTCTAGCATATGATATTTTTAGAAGGGGGTTTTGTGGAAATATTAGTAATTTTATAGTTGAAGTCATTAGTCAATTAAAGCTAGACCACCTTGGAAAACCTGAAAACACTAAATGGCCTTTTCGTCCCAGTATGGGGCTCCTCAGCAGTAAGCATCCACGATCCTACACACGAGATTTTTTCTGTTTATGATTCCTTCTGGATAAAAGGTTTTATTTGACCATTTTTCCTATTCTTGTTAGCATATTTAGCAAAAATCACGACCATAATTTTCTCAAAAAATTCTTATAAAGAAATAACTGAGAACCAAATGAAGGCTTTTTTGAATCTTGAAATATTTACTTTATTCAAATATCTGGGTTTTTGGCGGAAAAGTGAAATTTAGGAAAAGTGTTAGATGTTCGTGCTAGTTTTCTATTAGCATAGAGGATTTGTTAAGTAATAATATAGATGTCGAACAATCTTCGAAATCCATTTTTAATGTTTGTTAGTGCATTATCTATTTCGCCAAGGAGTAGTCAGTCTGGATTCGGATATTCAGGTTTTGATGTTAGGTCAAGTGTCAGTGGTTGATTTGAAAAAATTATCAATAAGTTGTTAAAGAGATTGACGGTTTCCACAAACTAAAACCTTTTGCTTCCAAAACTCATTTTAAATATCCATTGTACTATAAAGAAAATTTAGTTGGTGTTCCAATGATACGACCATACTTTAAATCTGAGATAACTTATGATTCGTTGTTCGTTTTAAATTTTGCTAATTCATGTATCATTTTACTGTTATAATGAAATTACTTTACTAAAGGCTTCATTAGTATAAATTAATACAATACAAGTCTTTCTATCTGTCATGCTTTTTAATACAAAATATGGTTTGTGTATAAACTGTTCATTCTCGAGGAAGCACTATAGAACTTTAAAGTTAATATGTGACTATTCGTAGAGGTGGATCCTTGTATCCGAATTTTCCTGAACTCATTGAGAGACATAATTCAGTTATGACAATAAAATAACTTCAGATCATTCCTTAGTTTTTGAAGTTGTATCTCATAGTCACTTATTTTAAATTGAATATTGCAATAAAAAGTTAACACGATTTACTGTATCACCCAATTTACACATGTGACAATCCTTGACGCGTCTGTGGAACATTCTATCCGCAAAAATCAAATGATTGACTCATACAGCGTTGAGAATTTATCATTTTTGCACAGACTTTTTATACTCTCATCTGTTTTTGTCTACTGAAGTTTTATCTTACAACGTGTCGGTGATACAGTCAGATCAAAATTGTCATTAAAGGATCTTTCCTTTTTTTTATTGTATTTGCTGTTATAAACATTAAGTGACTAATATTTCAACAAAGAAATTTCATGTCACCCTCTATTTCGTTCAGCGTACTCAATTAAGGAGATTTACATTAAAAACATACGTTTCCAATGAATTTAGTTGCCTACTTTATAAATTAATCAATTATATCCATTGATTTCAATCTTATATTACATGTTTACATAGGTGTATCTGAGTGTGTGTCTATTGTTTCCTCGTTTTCCATGTTCCCTCCTAATTTCATTTTTACTACTTTTATATAAAACGTTTATCTGTAGTTGTTAATTGAGTGCTGTCTATCTTGAATACATATGTTGTCTTGTATTTGTTTTCTTATGTTATTGTCGTATATGTCGTTAAATTTCTACTATTCTTTCAATGTTGTTACCGCTCAATCATCTCGTAGAGCTTCTATTCAAGACCAATCATATTCTCTGGAAATATATCTCCTTCGATACTCGATCAGTCTTTTAGCGACAACCCTATGGAAGTTTCAGTGTCATACCTAGTTTCAGGGGCATTCATCTCAATCAATCATCTTAATGATTTCACTGATACTCACAAGAAACGCCAATCAAGAATAGACATTTTCTAAAGTACTCAAAAATGTTTTTATCAAAGGCAAATAGTTCTATTGCTAAACGTCCTCGAATAATTACAAAGGATTATTGTACAGATGTTAAAGTTATTAATTCACTACTGAGAGTCATAATTAATGAACTTAAAGTTGATAATAATTATAACCTGAACTGATCATATAAATTTAGAAAGATTCCTCTTCGATACTGACTCGCACATCATCATCATGGTTATCTCATTTGTTGCCTGAGGTTAAAAACTTCAGTCATCTGAAAACCACTAGTCCTTTAGTAGCTGTTTGTGAGTGAGTTTTAAATATATTGCTTGAATTTATGTATACTATATCTCATTAAAACTGTTGTTTATATTTTACTCCTTTTGTGGTACTATTAGATTTTCTATGTGTAAGTGTTTCGGTATTCTCACTCGTTCTCTACCTAAGATATCCTCATTTGTATAGGTTTATTAAACGTGGTTGATCTCTGTGTAGTGATCTGATGTATATTAGTAACTGTTATGATTATTACCACTGGTTGATTACTGAAACTTACATTTTTCACTTTTTCCATAATATGTGTTCATGGTTCACTTGTATTCCTTTTCTCGCATATATAATATATTATGAATTAGAATAATAGTTCAGCAGGCTCAACTTCGTTAGCTAATACATGCATCATAAACAATCAGACAGCTATGAAAAACGTCCACTCAAATTCAGATGCTGTACAATCAAGTGAGTCATCTAGTACCGGCTATACAACACGCTATGTATTAACAAGAGCTACAACTGTCAAGAGTGAATTGAAACGTGCCAAGTCCCAAGGTCAGTTGGCTGATTCATAAATATGTATTGCAATAAATAACTTTTCTGTATTATCTGTTGTTTTATTCTCTACCTCTTTAAATGTCTTATTGTCTCTGTGCTCTCTTGAGTCACACTCATTTAACTTTGAACATTTTATCGATCGTAACAATTAAGATATATATATATATATATATATATATATATATATATATATATAGGTTAAATTCTTTTCAGTAATAATTCTAAAAACATGGATAACGTTAATATGTACCTTTGTTGTTAAATTGCTAATAAAACTGTAAACATTGCTTCACCGCCGAATACCTGATTAATTAATACGGATTACTTATATAACATGTGTACAATCTTGAATAAGCTACGCTTTTTCATTAGTAATAAATAACTTACTCGAATTCTCTGTTATCCAGTACACCATACACTCATGAAATATAAGTACAATTTTTCAGGCGAATTCATTGCCTAAACTTGACTTCTTTGTTCGGTTGACTATGCAAAAGTTAGTACTGAAAGACTGAATTGTATTGGTATGTAACTATTTGGTTTGGTTTCTTCTCGTATTCTTTATCTTTTTCTGATTAGTCTCTGGATTAATAATGTATGTAGCAACTTAGTCACTCCACTGTACTACGTTCAGTTTAATCAGTAGTTTGTTTTAATATAGATATCAAAAGCGTAAACATGATTTCTCTTCGACAAATCTGCCTGTTTATTTCCCTTCTAGTTTGTAATTTTACCAACCCTTTGAAATATCGTCAAATAGATTCTCTGTTGAATAAATATCGTGTCAAACGTCATTCAAGTAGAGAGGAGATTCATGAAAAATTTATTTTACAGTCATACCGTTATCATTTCCCGTACAAAGACTATTACTAGCAGAGGGACCTTTTTCATGTAGTATAATTATAAGCAACCTAACTGAATTATTTGTTGTATATACATCCATTTACAATAGTGGTTTTGGCCTGTCGAACAAACCAACCATCTCGTCAACAAGGACAAACGTCTAATGCACAAAACACTTCTTCAGGTTGTTTGATTTTACTTTATTCTCTGTGTGGGTTTACGTGTGTATGTTGTTGTTAAATTACAATTATTCTCGTGATATATAAGATTTAAACTTTCTTCAGTCGATTCGTGACTCTTATATTGAGATTGTTTGGGGAGAACTTCTCAGCGTACTCAGTGAATGACCTCATAATTCAAATGCATCTTTTTTTAACTACTTTTTATGTAAACATGTATGTCAGTTCTCTTATCACCACTTTATTTGCTGTTTACATGCGCTGGAATTTTAAATCCATTAGGGTTGGGTAAACAGATATTTAGAAAAATTTTACTTTATGATTTCTTTTGCTATTTTAAAATGCATGATCGGCTTTATCAAGGTTACAATATAATTGTACTAATTTATTCCTTAATGGGCAAAAAATTTGTTAGTTTTATTGAAGCGTACAATAATATTATTTGGACCGGTTTATAATACTACTCGTTTTCCTTTTTGAATAGCTTATGTCATTTTCTGCACTAAGTACAAAAGATTTTTTCGAGTCGATGAGCTGAAATTTTAACTAATAAAAGCTCTGGTTAGATTAACACTACACGGTAATTCTTCATTAAGCTGTATTCGACTACATAGGATCAAATATCATCCTATTTCACTTATTTTGGTGCGTTATCTAGACTGTCTTCATGACTAAAATAAATCTACTGTGCAATTCCTGTTAATGACATTTTAAATACTAGTCGTTTTATGTAGAACGAAATATAAGCATTCATTTTTTAAGTCGCCTGGATGAAATATTTATGTTCATCCACTGCTATGTCTTAACAATTTCTCATATGTTTTGGTGTTCTATTCAGAAACTCTTCAGTCATATTACGTCAACCAGGTATTATTTAAATCAATGAATTATTAGACGTCTGAAACTAAAATATGAAAGTTTTTAGTTTTTTCAGTTGTATACTTATCATAGAAAACTAACTGCTTTATAAAATAATGACACTCATTAACTGTATTACTAATTTCGGTATTGTTATCGTTCCTGGTGATCTTAGCAACAGGGATGGGATACTATTATAATTTCTCTTATTACGACATAGCTGCTCTTATTGTTCAGTATTCTTCGGTTCTACTTCACTCGAAAAGTCCCCAAATCAGAACACAGTCGAACGGGAACATAGTTATATTCCAGACAAAAATGTTGGATGGAAGTAGGAATCACAATAAGAGTGACGTTGGTATATTTATTATCTTTACACAGGAAGATTCCAAAGCCCTCTCCAAGCGTCCACCAGCACTGATCGGATAAGAAGTAGTCAATCAGCGTACCCCATCATAGTCCTTTACGGAACGTGCTTTAATCCAATCTATATCCCGCTAACATCTAGCGCTCAAAGCATAATTTTTATCGTATACAAATAACTTTAGGAATATTCCGGATCTGAAGGTTCTTACTCTCAGGCTAACAATTAGTTTATGGTAGGAAACTTTAGATATTCCTGATAAGCTATACCAGTAATGTAGTTATATCTCTTAGTTTTTTAAGTTTCTGCTCTAATACAGTGAGTAAAATTACTGTACACCTATTTATCTTTTATGTATTTGGATAGTTTTTTTCTGATAAACCATTAATACAGGTGTTCTGCTCTTTTCAGCAGTTACTCATAGTGTCATTTAACATCCTGTTCGTGCACAATTTTTTTGCACATTCTATAACACTTTTGCTATTTTATTTTTACCTAGCTAGTTTTTTACGCAAATTTTTTTTATTCATATGGTAATATTAGCTTATGTTTAATTATTTTAAGTAACCGTAGACATTTCATTTCTATAAACAGATGTGTTGTATGTAACAGCAGTTATATTTATTCCTTATATATACATATACACATGGTTAACTTTGATTATCTAACGTTTTTCTGGTTTCGTAGGCATTTGTATTGTTCATTTTTATTTTAGATTGATGGAATGATAGTTCATCTTTCATTTCCTGAAAGTTATTCTTATGGTCATCTTCCCACAAATTTTAAAAATTATTATCCTACTTTTGACGTGATATAAGTCCATACTACTTACATTCGATATGAGCGTCTGAAATAATGTATATTCATATTTGTATCATTGTTTTTCTCTGCTAACTGGTGTGTTTGCAAGAATATGCTTCGTTTTTTTTATGTTCTTTGATGCTGTTATCATGTCTTGTGTTAATAAGGTGCATGTTATATTTCAATATCTAAACAAACTGGGATCCTTACATCTTTTTTCTCAATTTCTTTCTCGTTCGTTTTCATATGCATAAAAATCACAGAAAAGTGTTCCGACCTTTCACAGTTTTCACATCCGGGAAGTTTAACCGCAAGTTCTAGCTCATTAGACAATCTAAACTGTGAGACAATTAAAACAATTTTATTTAGTGAATGGATATCTCCCAGACAAGGTATGTTTTACTCATAAAGTTTGTGTGAATAGAATAATAATTTTCTGTAATATCTTACCTTTCCTCATATATTATTCTGTACCCTATGTATAGATTTACATTTTGTGCCAAACCTCTGGATCGGGACATCCCGTGGATGTGTCCTTGCTTTGAATCTAAAGTATCGAGTATTGAATAACGTCCCAATTAATCAATCATATTGTACTGGTAATTCCTATTCCTTTTTCTATTAAAAGTACATTTTCTGCATTGAAATTTGTTTACGTTTGTAATGTGGATAAATAACACTACCATGTATTTTAATTTTTCATTATTCACATTAATGCATGCGTTATTAGTGTTAATTATTTGTGACCTCGATACCATTATGAAATTATTTCTCTACAACACGCACCTTAGTCTTGATAATAACTTTGACTTGAGCTCCGAGATTGATAACCTCTTATACATGTAGAGAAAAAACACTTCCTTTGTATCTTACATGAACGCGTTTCTATTGAATACCAACAAAAGAAACGTAGATCAGTCAGTTAGTAATTAATTCAAACCCAAATATCTTGAGTTAACTTGGCTTATTGAACACGTTACGAATTCCATCGATAATTTCAAGTGAACAAAAAATAAACGATGTAATATCGGGTGCTTACTATTGCATGACTAGCGATTCAGATGAAGAAAGCTGCATAATTAGCTAGGGGAGTCATTAAATCTAAGAGCATATCAGTTCTTATCACAAAAATCAAGATAGGTGGTGAGATAAGGAAGTCTGCACGTTGGTAAATTAGGTGAGAGGAAGCAAAAGTGATTAGTAAGCATATTTTAATGTAGAAAAACTCACACCGTTATATTATTGACCCACTGTTCTGATAAAGCCTTATCTTGTTAGCATATTTATACTTTCTGTTGTTTGGAGACGTTATTCTTTGCATGCGAAATCATATTTACCAGGAATTTTGTTGTAAAAGAAACCTCGGACAGATTATTTTTTCTGTGTTTTAGTTCAATAACAGTAACGACTATCCCTATCTACTCATCTTAATTGTTAATTCATGGTATCAGTTCTCTGAACACTAGATACATGATCTATGTGAATTTTCTTGTTAGGTTTCAAAAGATTTAATGATAACTAAATGATATTTAGTGTTTTTGTTCTGAAAATACTGATTAAGATCTATGATATAATGTGAAAACGAAGTGTTATGATTCTGTTAATCGTAGAATAGATATTCTTAGTCATTTATAGTACTATAATAATTATAATACAACATTTTGTAAAAATAAAAATGACAGAATTCATAACAGTTTATAAAAACATGATCAGTTTGATATAGACAGTACTATTAAATGTAGAGGATTCATTGAAAATTAGATTGTTTCAAGTTTTCTCGTTCCAAAATTGTTTAGGTAATACATTTTTCACATGTATTAAAGCAATGAAAGACATCAGCCGAGAACTGTTTATTCTTTGAAAGTGGACATCCTATTGATGTAAATAAAGTCATTTCTTGCGCCATAACAAACATTATTATAACTATAACTAGAGAAAACGGAAGGAGAGAGCACGGGACAACAAAAGCAATAATTACTACAATAGGCCAGTCAGGTCTACCATAATACATGTGCCAGGTTATTCTATGATATACTGTTCTTGTTAGATATTATTCAAATTAGTTAGTTACACTTACGGTGTATGCGTAAAGTTACACCAGGTAGGTAGGTTTACTTAATAGATTCAGTAATAAAAACAACTAAACATTTGAAGTTCCTATAATCTCACTTCTGGAATAAAATACTCTAACAGGTGTAAGGACATTTAATACATTTTCAAAGAAGTAAGCATCGATGCAGCGAAAAAAGGATAGGAGTGTTTATTAAAAAGACGAATTGAGTTTTGTACTGTTGAGCCATTATGAAATGCTAACTACTCCATTAATGGCCTTTAACCTGTATTTTTCTTTGATTTGGTTAAAAATTATAGTTATTTGTGCGACTACCGTGGAATCGTTTTACTTAACGTTTCTATAGGCGTCTTAATTTGTTACAATATTTACCTGGTATATAGGTTTACTAAACCTGTACGTTTCAAGAGGTGCGCAGGAATATAAACAGGAGATAGTGATCAGATAAAATGTTTCAATGGCATCCACGAGACTATTACGTTATTAGAAGGCATCCCAGTTTGAGAATCTTTCTAAAGAGTGCAGAAGGTCCCAGTCAGTATGCCTATAGTGTCTATATGGACGGGTTTTTTTTTGTAGGGATTGGTTATAAAGAGGACAAATTCGTTGTATGCTTGAATAGACAGTAGGATAATATCTCTACAAAATATCAGATCTAGTATATTATCATGCATTGTTAAGATACAAACGCTCTGTGACCAGCAGCGCATGTTAATGGTCGCTAAGAATTCATCATTACATGACTGACAACTGCCGGTATTCCAGAGTAATTAAAACATCCTGTAATGAACTTCGCAATGAAATTTAAAGTAGATGTATGTATCAATACATTAGTAATGAGATCATTCACATCCGAACTACCTTCTTGCTCTGTCTTAATTCTGTTTATACATATATGGTAGAGTTATTTTTTCTTCTAATCAGTTTATGATGAACTCTGTCCGCTTGTGTGAAACAGGTTACTCTGTTCACGTCACCGAATAAAGTAGGAAAGTGTAGTGAGTGAATAGTTGATAGATTGATACAATGACTGAGTAAACGACAAGGAATAGTGGACCTGAATTCTGAACTGTTTTATTGATTTTCTTTCAAATAACTATGTACCAGCTCAAATAGCGTATTCATTTCTTATATGACTGCGTGTCATACTAGTATGCATGTTTGTACGTCTATCCTATTTCATTGTGTGCAATTTGATTACTTTTTAAATAGCTGTCAATTTTTACTTGATTAGTACAATCTATCTTCTATTTATGCTCAATGTTAATATTGATTTTTGTCTTCAATCTGCACACACAAAAGCAATGTTATGTATACACATATGATTAAGTTTGAAATCTTTCTGAATTGGAGTATAGAAAGTTCATTCGTATTGACAAGCTAGCACCTAGCTATCTATCTTATTCTTTTTATTAACACATTGGTCTTTTTTCTCATGATGAAATAATTGTATTATTGAATACCCAAATATATATTGACTGCTCTATATATATTTTGGAATGTCTCTACTTTCTGTTTATCCGAAACTAATAAGAGGGTATTAAATACTTTTTTGAATATTTCAATTATTTAATGTGTTTTCAGTTGTTTTGTTCATTCATCCAATGGTTGATTTCAAAATCGGGCAGATCAACTAATTGTAGTCCAATCTAGCAACTATTAAATTAGCTTGGTTAGATATCATTTAATAGTTGAATTCGTGAGTCAATTAGATCTAGACCACCATGGGAAACCTGGAGGTACTAGACGGTTGTTTCGTCCTAATATGGACCTCCTCAGCAGTGCACATCCATGAATATATAGTATAAGTATTTTCATCTGGATACTTTGATCTTTTATTGCCGTCCTTAAAATACAAATTTTTAAAATGAATATTTGGAACCCACTGTTGTATGTGATAACTAAGAATATTTTAAATGTTACATCACGATTTTCTGTGCAAAATAAGTCATCTTAATCCGATCCAAAAACCAGTCAGCAGTATTTGTCGTAGGTTCTAAACAGTTCTTTCCTTTTTTCAGCTAAAACCAGAGGACTGAATTTATCGACTAATTTTTTCTTGTTATAGAATTACTTTAGTACCTCGATAGGCTATTTTTTAACATGTGAATCAAGTAAACCTCTATCTTACATTCTGTCAAACAAGTCTTAGTGAGGTTTCTATTTTTCATTTAGAAAACATGAACGTTCATGTGACTGAAATTCGTAGTTCTCACTGACACTTGCCAACTAGATAAACATTTTACAGAATGGAAAATATGATTATCAGATTTTAATAAAAGTATTAATAATTGGAATATCCTTTTTTCAAATAACTGTCTGTAATCACTTACCACTCATTACATTGATGTATTATTTTAAATTGTTGATGGAAATACTCGGTCCAGGAAATCGAATGAGGTATGAAAAGGACTGGAGTGAAATGATGCTGAATGTTTTTAACAAAGTTAAATTTACTGGATCTAACTTGATAGTATCCATTTAAGACATTTCCGTGTGTCTGAAGAGTCAATTAAAAGAATTATAATTATATACATTTCTCAAACTATCACCTGTTAATAGGATTTTAACCGTTTCTGCTATGATCCTACGTTTACTAACATCGAAATATATGGTTACTGAGAATCTGCTAAAATTTTATCAACTAGCAAGCCTAAGTTAAAACCTTAACCATCTGAACTTGATACTGTGTGCTCATTAGTCCCTGTACATGCAATAATTCCTCGAGGGCTCCAGTAATCCATATTTCTCTAGTCTTTTCATTTCTGTCTGCCCTTTGCCAATAACGTGCACATATATGTGCTTTTCTTAAGCAAACACCTAGAGGTCGTAATTACTATAAGTAATTTTGTAATATTAATGGATTATATTTTATATCTGTAAAGTTATGTTTAATCTACGAAGTTGTCTAATGAATGTTGTCACAGACCTGTTACCACACTCGTTCAGAAATATTGCGAATTTTTAATACTAATGGCAATAAATACTCTGGAAATTTCTAATTATTTACTTATATTCTTTATTGTAGCTTCTTTGTATCGTTTACGTGGAGATATTATTCACATTAGCCTGTTGGATAATACCGGTGATATTTTACCGAGTCCTTCTGAGCGTTGGGATGATTCATATATTTTCAAAGGTGGTACTGCCTCTGAACTTTCGAAACAAGCATCTCTTATATCTTGTTCATCTATATGTTCTGAAGGAACTTCTATGCATACTAATGCTGACGCATATAGTTCAACTGATACTGGCTTCAAGTCTTGTGGTGGTGGTGGCGGCAGTGTTCGAGCATTGAAAGAGTCAGTTATGCGACAAAATACAATTACCACACATACATCTTCAACATCAACATCGGGTCACTCTAGTAAGCACATAAATATCGTCCTTTCTATATCTTAAAACATTAATTGTTGCATATTTTATATTTGTGAATGTTTCAGACGTATTTCTCATATCATTCTCAGCCGTGGGATAGTATTCCCTTTCAACGTCTATGCATTATTCTTATTCGGAATAATTGACCGAATGCATGCGAATTTTTTTCTAGAACGGCTGATCGGTCGCTTGACAACCATTTTTCATCGTAAGATAAATTTAGACATCCAGTTTGTCTTAATATATTACATAAAGTTAAAATTGAGATCTTAATTTCTAACCACCTATTTATTAATTTCAAGATGCATCTTTTAAACTATGAATCCACATTAGTTGAATAACTACTAAAGTTACTAAGTATATTCCCCAAATCTTTCTCACCACACTTACTTAGTTACAACTGTACACCGATAGTTTACGCATCAAAGATTCCAGTGTTTTGATAATTCATGTCGGGTTGGGTGATAGATATTCTAAGCTCCTAACAACTAACTGTTTAGTATAGCTACTATTTTAGTATTATGCAAATTGTAGTCCTTAATGATTTCGTTTTTTACCTCTCGCAACACCTATTGAAGTTAGGTATGGTGTTGATTGAGGATTTTCAGCCTATATTTAGTTTTGAAGGAGTTATATGTGAAGTATGTTTAGCGTGTTGTTACATAATACTGAAAATGTGCAAGTCATCATTTTTCGTTTGTTTTATACTTTTTTTCAGGTACTATACTATCCAATACTATGAGCGGTGGTGGTAGTACATTTCAATCAAGTGGTACAACTGGACTTGATTCTCCTACAACATCCAAAGGCTTTATTGAGTGTGACCGACAGCTGCTTGTTCTTTGTTCAGAAAAACAAGCTCGGGTAGTTGCACTTCCTTCACAAAATTGTCTTTATAAGGTAAAACTACTCTCGATTGTTGTAGACAGAATTCCATCATTAGTTTTAAACTAGATCTAATAATTTGTGTCTTAGTGAATTCCATTTGGATACTATTTTAACCTTTTTTATACAGGTCAAAATAACTGAAACAAGTCAAGTGGTTCGAGCTTCCGTACAACGTTTGAGACCGTCACATAATAGTGGAACATCAACAGCTAGTTTCCTCGCGTGTTACCTTGCAAATGGACATTTTGTTGCCTTCTCATTGCCGAGTTTACGTTTACTAATGGATGTAGATTATTTACCGTATACAGAATGTGTAAGCCGTTCGTTTGCGTTTGGTCAGTATGGTCAATCTGTGTATTTGGTGTCGCCTTCAGAATTAGCTAAAGTCACCTGGGCATCAGATGTCTGGTAAGTGCTGGGTTTTTTTGTAGTCATTCATATTGCTCATCATTATGAATATTTTGTCATGTTTTATAGCATGTGAATTTATGTATGTTTTTAGTTTCTTTATATTATGCTTATTTTCTCAGCAATTGAATATATATATATATATATATATATATATATATATATATATATATATATGGTGGTGATTTATAATGAGGTAATATTATTCTATAACCCAATATGCTTGTTAAGCTAACGATTCTTAATATTTATTTTTGATATCATGATGTGTATTTAGATTATAATTTTTGTCTAGGTTTCTGTCTCTGAGCCCTATTTCTAACCTGTAAAAAACTACCGCTTTCATGAGATGCATCTTATCATTCGTCAGTTCATTCAGAATAGTGGAGTTTAATGTTCACTACTGGTCTAAAATCTCATTTTTCGGCTTATTTATGCTAAACGTCTTTATCCACTTATTGGTTGAGAGACATCACCACTCTTCACATTCCCATTCCAATTTGAAAACATTTACCTAGAATCAATACATTGATTGAGTAGACCTGTCAAGTTAGATACCTGAAAACTCCATATTCTATTATCAAACTCCTATGGTCATATTGTTCATTTTCAAAAACTTTAGTTGTCAGTACAGTTTGGTTTTAATTGGCTGCGCACTCCTTACACCCACACATACTTAAAAAACTGAATGTTATGAATATTGATTCTAATAATTATCACGATCACAAAAAGGTTTTTTTCAAAACACAAAATATATTGTTATTAAATGACTCTGAGCAAACCAGGTAACAAGAGGTAGGATTCTTTTTGTCTATGAATTGTTAATTTCAATGAGTTTTTCCAACTGATTACTACTCAATATTTAATGCGGTTTAGTTTTTAACCTACACAATAGTAGGGATTTTAAGTTTTCATTAAATAGCTAAATATCCCCTTGATCAGCATTGATTATCGAATATATTGATGGTTATATTGAAGCCCTTGACTTATGCCCTTTAGTGATAACAAGTAAAACACTATATTAACATACTAGTTTCACTTTAAAGGCTAAATAATTCCAAATACTATAAAAACATTCTTTTACAAATATAAACGTAAGATTTTCCCTTAGAACAGTTTATCGTAAATATTTTTCATATCTCTTAATATATTTTCTTAGCTAATAGGTAAGCTGATGTTATTCATATCTTGCTCTACTTTTTGACTTACAGTGCGAATTTACGTGATATGCAAGGTGAGATATTTATACCAAGTAATATGCCAGAACCTCCTAAGAAAAACTTTTTCAAAAATTTATTAAGTGGAACTTTGGTGTCTTCATTAGATCGAGATGAATTGTGTAAGTTTGATCATAATACTACTCCTTGTCACAGTTCTTTTGTTTCGTTTTCATGATTTTCTTTCATATAGCGTTCATACTATTCTCTTCGTAAACCATTGATAATTATTTAGCTTGCTGTTAATCCAGATTGTTTTCCATAATCAGTCAACTTTCTTTTGTTTACAATGAGTTATTCTACTTTCAGTTTATGAGTAGCACATCTTTTGGCATAGTGGGACTTTATTGACAATCTCATCGTCTTTTGTCACTAAGGTTTAGAGTGATCATTTTGTTTTGTATCATATTTACGAACGCATACAATAGGTTTTAGACCAGATTCGTTGAGTAAAACTAAGCGTAAACTTCAGATTACACTAGATATGGAGTGAAGTTAGCAAAACCTGGAATCATAAATTAACTCAAATAAATCATTGTAGTAACCTTAAAGTGTATTCAAATTAATCAGGTTGTAAATTGAAGATGATTTATTTAATGAGATGAAGCGAATTTGAGTTATGATCTTATATATATATGGGTACCAAGTTGGAAAATAGAAAAGCCTTGTTTGTCTGTAGATTACATTTGATATGATAACTGCATTTATATGTATATATGCTACGAAAGTCTTAGGGTGGACGACACATTTATCCCACTTCGAATGTGGTAGGGAAAACTGGGAATTTATTCCTTCCATTACTACATTTTACATTCTTCAGTAGTCATTTATTATGGAATAAGTCATATTATTCGGGTTGAAAGCAAAGGTTTCATTCCCTGATTTTCTCTAGCAGTTTCGTTTTTTAAATGGACTCGGTTAGGGTTCAAAAGTCAATTTCATGAACAGCTTATCAGTTTAATCACTCCAATAATTTTATCAATCGATCGCGCCGTTGTAACACTATCATTTCCCAAGTTTTGCTTCAAACAAGGGCTTCGCCTATCACTCAGAATTAAATGGGTTATTTTTAATTTTGTCTGACATTCCAGTCTCAAGTTTCTCATTATTGGAGCAGTTCTGTCAACATTTCACCAGTAGTAGTAAAATGTTTACGCAGTCAGAACTCACTAAACGATTTTTGTGTGCCACTTTTGTCATCTTTAATTTGATTTTATAACTAAGGGTTGACCATTTCGATCGTGGTAAGTGGATCAGGTTGAATAATAGAAAGAGTTAATGAATCAACGCAAACTAACTTCGATTGTTACATATTTTGTCTCCGTAAAATTGTTATTTATACACGTAAAGTGACATTTATCATGTCATTTAACTAAAAAGGGTCGCGTGCAAGCCCAGTAAAAGAATATAATCGAATGACTATTGTAAGAAATATTTAGACAATCAATTTGTCTTTGGTAGAAGGAAAACGTTTTCTTAGTATTGTTTATTTTGTGACAGCTTTTACCAGCCATAAAAAGTGCAAAATCAAGCTTCTGAACACTTGAAATAATAACTTGAATCAATTTCTCCATATATTAATATTCTGGAGTAAATCAGATTAGAGTAGTAGATATAGTGGCTATGCTCGAGATTAAAATGATTTCAGTAAAGTTGACAGTAAGTATACAAGTCGGAAATAATCAGCAACTGTATGCCTGTCCTAAAAATAAAGTTTTGTAGAATTTTGAACACCCAGTGGTGTAATAGGAAAGATTAGGCACCGAAGATAGGATTCAAAAAGAAAATAAAAATTAGTGAAATAAAACAAAAAAATTTATGAGCAATTTGAAGAGACAAAGAATGGATACACCTGCGCCGTTGCAAACGATTTTAAACCATGTCATTCAAAGTTTCTAATATTAGTTACGATAATCACACGAACCCTCAGGCAGATAGTCTGTACCTGAATAACATGATCGGTTATATCGTGTAAGAAATCCACAGAAATTTTCATTCTCCAGTTTGCTCTTGCTTTAGTTGGTGAAGCAAGTTCGGGGAAGGGGACACCTGGCGCTACTACTCTACTGCCAAATGCTCGTATAGAGAAGTTATCTGGTCAGACGGGTGCTGCCTCCTCTGAAATTGCACGAGCTAGAAATGCTGCCATTGAACGTGGTGAGCGGTTACAGCAGTTAGACCTACAAACGCAAGAGATGGCTGATCAAGCTAAAGGTTTTGGTCGTTCTGCTGCTATTCTCGCTGCCAAATATGAGAAAAAGGATAAACGCTGGGGTTTGCCATTCTAAGGAAGACTATTATTGCAGCAAATGACCTATGCTTATTTTCCTAATTGATTGCTCTCAGGTAACTTTGTTGACTTAGTATTTTGGAGCCTATAAGATTTCGTAACTGTGTTCTATCTCATTTTAACCCATAATGTACTAAAAACAATGATGAACGATATTCTCCTTTCATATTGAGGACGAGTGACCATTATGTTTATATTTTTGTTCTTCGGATTTCCTCCTTAATATATATCTGACTTAATAACATATACGCTCTAGGGACTTACGTTTCTGCATGCTTGTGACTAATTGTCACAATAACCGTTGTTTTTGTATTAACTGTGGATTTTGAACTTATTCAATTTTTTTTGTCGCATTATCAAGATGTTTACATTTGAGTTATTATTTTCTAGCATCATACGGAGTTCTTGTTTGTGATGTTTTACACAATTCGTGTTGTTGATCACCTCTCTATATCCATCATCAATATTCACCTGTTCAAAGGAACACAATTCCTCCTCTTGGCTAATTTACATTAACAAATGTGATTGCTATTTTTGTTGTACTGTTGAATCATATGACAATTTTGTCTCACCACTCACTATATATATATATATCTTCTAGTCTTCATTAGCTGAATCTTAATTATTTCACAAGCTTGTAAAAGCATCGAACGCATTATTTCAAAATCGATCGCTCTCTTCAAAAGTTCTGTCACATTCATCCCTAAATTTATTGGGTCATTTTGCGCATTCATTATTTTTCATTTCGTATGTTCTATTTATATCAATAAAACTTAGAAACAAAATAACAAATTTTGTCCATCGTTTTCATTCTTATGATAGTTTCACTTAGCTTAGACAATCCAGTATACGTAAGACGAAGAAAACTCCTGATTACTAATCAATAACTGATTAGTTATCATCGTGCTTCTGTACATTAATTAGATTTATGAAATTCATTTTCCCATATGAAGGCAGACTAACTTAAGGTTTAGTAATTTTTGTATTCTGTCTGTTTATCAGAATTATGAGACTAAAAATTGATGAATGAGTTACGCTCACTCAATCATTATCTATGATTTGGTTGGTTGTATTCAAGCTGAACCCAACTCAAACACATTTAAAACATGGTCAAACATCGTTCTAATTATTTATAAATATGATTACTACCGGCAGTGCATTAAGCTTAGCAGCAATGATCAGCTTAAAACCAACCCTACTTGTCGTTATGATTATTTCCACCATACAGATTAGTGAAACAGCTGTGGCACCCAATTCTCGTGCATTCAGTTCAAATTCATGGGGAGGCAATATGTATCTCGTATCCTTTCCAGCCTCAGAACATTCACCATACATGATGGCACGGCAGGATCAGCAAACGAATCTCCCGAGTCCTAAAACAAAATATATCAACCGTTATTCAACTATTCAGTCTAATGTACCGTCCTATCCAATATTTATGCAACCACCCATGAATTCTGATCTCAAACAATCAGCATATTTAGTCGAACAACAACCTGTACAAAGCCACACAACTATCACGTATCCTAGTGACCAACAAATCCAAGGAACTGCTGAAAACACAGTTTCTGGTGACGAAATGGAAATCACGCCTAGGACAATTGTTCAGAACCCACAGTACTCAGACTCTTCTGTTGTTGGTAGCCCGGATGATGGAGTTATCGGGAGTGATGGCGCTATTCTTGGGAGTCCGCAAGATGTCGCAGTAGTTGAAAGTGCAGGCCAATCACTTTATTCGGGTGATATGAAACAAAACCAATATTTGTATCCTAGTCCGGTACGACAAGATCCAAGATTTTATAGTCCGCTCATGAATCCGCCTCGATATCAATTGGATAAACGTATCAACACTGGATACTTTGGGATAGGTCAGTATGAACAGCCATTGTACAGTCAAGTACCCAGAGGAACTAGACCCTCATCACAGTATACAAATGGACCTACAGGAACTAGTATGTAAGTTCTTAAATTCCATAATATAGTTCGATGTAAAAGTTTTTGATTACTTCATATATGATTGGGGAAGTAGACAATTTACACTCAGTTTCCAGTTAACATTACTCTTGTGGCACGTCTTCGGGGCGCTGATGACTAAGGTTAGTCAGGGTGGTCTAGATATCAGAATAAACTGTATTACGAAATGCTAGACTGTGTGAATAAAGTTTACGATTATTTGGATCCCATGTAGCTTGATAGGTTATTATTAAATATGAGTATGTGCATAGCGGAAACAACATTAATAATTAGGTAGTTAAAGTAAATTCTACGCGGGTCGAAAACATTTACGAAATTTCATACACTTCAAAAGTGAATTCCGAAGTTTTAAGATAAACTAAGTTTTACAAGTATTTGCAAGATTTTGAGTGAAATTTTAATAAAATGCGTGGTTCGGGTAAAATGTATTTACAGTAGGTGTGCAAACACAGCGAAAGTTAAGTGAAAGACTGTTTTGGGAGTTGAGAAGCAAGGTTTTATAGAGTTAATGTCCAACTGATACAACCACAATTTCATCTTCTGTAGTTAAGTGGATGCGCCAATCGGAAGGTTTCAATGTGCAACCATTCGAGTCATGCAACATGTGCAACAGACGGTTTTGTTCTTCAGTAAGATTATCCCTGAAAATTAGGAAACAAAAATCGAATGATTATCTACATTCACTGCGAAATTGCTTTATCCTTAAAATAAAGTGCTAACAAGGAAAAAATCTCGGCAATATCTAAACGTCTTTACAGTTAATCCAGAAAATCGTGTTTCAAATACTAACATTAAGAAATGCAGTATATTGTACATAAATATGTTCTTTGTTCTCAGGTTAAAAGTTTACACTTGCGTAAATACTAAGTTTCACATAGTGCATAGAAATATTTTTTGTGTAAAATATTCGACTCTAACAGGCAGTTCTGAGAAGCTAAGCGGAATGAACATTTAAGCATTATAAGCAATAACAACAAAAAGAATAGTGGTTTAGTGGAAGTGAGATAAAGACCCTCTTCTGTATTAGAATCAACAAGTAACAGATTTAGCCGTGCTTTTACTTCAGGTGTTATAAGCTACTTCATCCAAATACGAAGAATTCACATTATTAATACATTAGAAAATCAGTTATTTGCCTATCAATCTGCTTTATACACAACGATTTGGATTAATATATTCAAATCATTGGGTTGCAGTGGGATTTCTAAGATGACTTATCTCCATGTTTTCCTTTGACGGAAACTAAATTGCTTGTTACTCAAATAACGTAATTAGCAATGAATACATTTGTGAATAACAGATAACCGTTTAGCTTGGATTTAAACGTTAGGATGACAACGCACCAAGCCCAATTCTCCCTATTTTTCTTTTAAACGATTGATAATTAAGTTCTATGCATTTCAATATTGAGAAAAGAAGCGTACCGCAGTTTTGCGTTTTAGTATCAATCTCGTATATTTTAGTGAATACGAAAAAGTAATTTATAAACGCAGGAAGTATGACTTTTCCATTACAAGTGGTTGAGATGTTTTGATCGAGTATTCAGTAAAGCCTGGCACAAATGTGCGTTACCCCACATTACCATAGTGCATTAACTTGAGACAATTAATAACAAACGAATCGAGAAAATGAAGGAGCAAAGACAATAAAGGTTGAAAATTGAGAACACGATTCAAAAAGGTATCTAAAGGTATAACTCGCCCCCAAATGCCCTGGTACGGCCAAGAGTGGAGAGAGTCCGCTCTCCCTCTCGAAATGCTCTCATATGGCCACGCGAATATATAGCCTCTGCTAGGGAAGTCCTACTCACTACCTTCTCGTGGCGGGGGTGTTGTTCACGAAAGTGAGAGGACGAAAAGCGAATGTCCGGCGCTTTAACCGGGTTGGTGGATGTGGAGGGTCCACCTAGGGGAGTTGGAAAACCCTGACTCCAAACCAATGGCGCACATGGGCTCCAGGATCCTGATGGAACGAATGGTGTATGAACCTATTGTTGGTCACCGGCTACCATGGGACTGCATCTCCCCACGATGCTCCACTGCTTTGCGGATCAGACCTTTAGGTCAAATGCTCGGGTGTGACCCCCTCAGAAAACCACCTGCTTCAGTCTGGGCAGTATCTCAGCCCTCACACAAATCGAATGAGATTTGTAAGGCGCATATTTATCTGGTGCTTTTTGTAGCAATATTTGTGTTTAAATAAAATAAAATAAAATTAGGATATGAAGATCTAGGCAGATTAAGATAAAGCCCGAATGCATTTGCAGTATTGTAAACGATTTTAAGCAGTGTCACCTAACCTCTTAAACAACAGTTGCAGTTTCCGTACGAAAACCAACCATGAAATCTGAATCAGTTCTGAAACCAGTCTATTCTCCTAGGCGATCCCTATATTAGTCAAATTGATTCCTCCGTGATTATCATAAGAAGACTTTTGTGCTTCCTTATACACTGAACAATGATCAGTGATCAAGACTATTTACATAGTATTATGTTCAGTTCCCAGACTCTGGCTAATATCTCAGCTAACTTCTTAAGTTGAACTACTATACCTAGTGATTTCCGGGATTAATTCATTAGGATCTCCTGTTTCCCATCTTTACAATGCCTTTTTAATATCGCCACAAGAACAAGGATGAGTTTAAAACAGTTGAGATTTTTTTAGCCAGTTATTCATCTATCAGAGGACAGCTAATGCAAATGTATAATCTAGAACAGAACAAAATGATATCACAAAGTGTAAACAGATTTCACTGAATTACGTAGCTACTTCTTAGGGTTAGTAATAAGATTTATTTGAAATGGTAGGTACATGTTTACTACCATACCCTTGTAGTGGACAATCTTAGTTTTTGGTTATAATTTCAGAACTTTTGAGCAATATACCATTTTACTGCTAGTTTTAAGTGATTTATGGGATAAAAGTCATTCATTTCAGACCTCATTCAGAAACTTAACAGGCATTTGTGTTGGCTTGTTTCTATACTATATTTTTACCATAAAGAGTTTGGAGTACTTTTAACCCAGTACCAAAGTTACTTCCCAGAAATCAAGAATCCTTATTTATTTATAGTTCACGAAATTAGTCACTATTTCTTCTAGAATATTAATTTGTATATGGAACTAGCAACAATATAAACTGCGACTATATTACCTGCTCACTCGGAATTCATTATTTTTACAAGATTGCTGTAAAATATAAAGTCAACCACATTGAAACAAACACAGAATGTGTTGCATACTCTATTGTAGCTCAATTAATGTTTTTATGTTCAGCAGCTACGTAATGGACATAGAGATAACATGTTTAAAGAACACTTCGTTCCTTATGAAGTATGGGATTCCTTTAAAAGGACAACGTAAAGTGTAATTTCCCGTATTCCTACCACATTCCTGGAAAGTTGAGCAACATAATTTAAGAGAGGTTTAAACTTAGTAAAAATAACTGAGTTCAGTTTCGCGTGTATGACCCAGGTTAACGAAATGATTACAGAGAAACTACATTTTTTTAAACAAGCACTTATCGTGTACACCTACATTACCTTGCATCACGTTTGCGTTGACGAGCTTTAACGAGACGCTTATTCAATGCCTGCCTTTGTAAGCGAAGGTCAGCCAGACGTTCTGCTAATTCATCACGAGCAGCAACCTTAGAACGACGACATCGTTCGGCCGCTTGACGGTTAGTAGCTCGTCTACGTGCATCCGACATAGCTGTTAGCTGAATGCAGAAAAGAAATAGGTGAACATTAGATTAGGGGAATACAGTTTGCTCTTTAAAATAGAATATCCCCATAAACTTTCAACAAATACTAAAGACAAGGTTTATAATAATGGCAAGATGCACTTTTTTCTGGTAATTTATCTACCTAATTTTAGAGCTCTTCATCTGTAGGCATTAATATACACAGGGGAAAGAGCAAGATCCTCAAATATATCACATAGAACACCAATGCAGTCACACTTGATGGAGAAACTCTGGAAGAGGCAGAAACATTCACTTGGGAAGCATCATCGATGAACAAGGAGAATCGGCTGCAGACGTAAAGGCAAGGATCGGCAAAGCTAGGACAGCATTCCTACAGCTGAACTCAAAACAACTGTCAACTAATACCAAAGTCAAAATCTTCAGTACGAACGTCAAGACAGTTCTACTGTACGGAGCTGAAACCTCGAGAAATACCATAGCAATCGTAATCAAAAAAGTACGGGTATTAATAAACAATTGTCTACGCAAGATAATCAGTTTCCATCGGTCGCAAACCATCAGCAATAGTCTACTGTGGGAGAGAACAAACTAGGTTTCAGCTAAGGAAATTAGGAAAGGACCCCGGAAGTGGATAGGACATACATTACGGAAATCACCAAACTGCATCACGAGGCAAGCTCCAATTCGGAATCCTGAAGTTGATTAGTAAAGAGAAAGGCCGAAGAGCACACTACGTCGGGTATTGGAAGCAGTCATGAAAAAGATGAATAGCAACTGGAAAAGATTGTCCATGACAGAGTTAAATGGAGAATGCTGGTGAGCGGCCTATGCTTCTTCACGAGGGTTAACAGGCGTAAGTAAGTAGTTTTAGAATTTAGGTCTTGAGCATAGAGAAGTTGGAAATAATAAGTGATAGTGTTAAAAATCACTTATAAGCATCACTAAACTTAACCGAAATAAAGTAATACTTGTTTGTTTTCTGTTTCTCTGATTCTTATGACATGGTTTTTATCTGCATCAGTGACAGGAGTAAATTAGTTTTATGTAGTTTATAAATTATTTTCCACTAATAAATTGATAGCAGTTTCAACAATTAATCTAATACGTAAGGTAACTTACTTGTTCCTCTGTTAAACCACGAGTGGCTCTCAGATGGCGAAACTCTTCATTTGTTGAATATACGACATCTTCATATGAAAATGGGACTCCGGCAACCTCAAGCACATCAATATCGCGAATATAACGATCAGATCGCTTGCTGACTGCTGAATTGGAACATGTTGAAGACGAACTTTTTTCGTAGACATGGTCTCTAGGATTAGAAAAGCTGAACGAGTTTTGATCATAAAGAATCTGTGATTCTGTGTCTAGAGACTTATCAATGGGTTCTGAATGGACTCTTATGTGTTCTAATCTTGAAAGTTTACTATTATCTAGTGACCAATTACCAGACGTGTGAATAACGCTATTTGTGTCGACTAACTTCAAACTTCTTGAATTCTGAAGATTATTGTAGTGAATGGAATATTCTTGATCAAACTTATAGTCAAGTTCAGAATCAGAGCTTGAATTACATTGTACAATATTAATTAACTCTTTGTTATCATCGAGCGATCCGCGACGATGAAGATCATCTAAACTGTTTGAACTTTCACTCCTTAATTGAGGATCTGTTTTTCGATGTACATAGTTCACCGACTGTGTCACGACATCTGAAATCCATGAATTATTGTCTGATAACGGCATAGTAAAAGTGCTTCCCGAAGGTTTTAAGACCTAAATATAATTGAGGGGATTTCAGATAAATATTTTTACACGTACCAAAAAACATTACGGTCATGTGTGTTGGGTTTCAATAGGTACAAGTACAACTTGCTTGCAATATATGTGTACATAAATTCCGCATATCATTACTTTAAAACTTAACGAACAATGGAAAAATAATATACATGAAGTTAAATCTACATATTTTTAGTCCAGATTGTTATTTAGTAACAGTACGTACGTTTCAGAATTAGTTAACAACTTCATAAACTGGACATGAAATTGTTGAGTGCTGACTACATCACTGATTACTATTTTGATCTCGTACTTAGTTTTTGTTTTAATTTCAATACACAGGTTTTTATTAACTAAGTTTGCTGTTGAGCTAAGAAATCTTGTAGTGCACATAAAAATCTGACAGTATTCAATGGTAAGCAGATTTTTAATCCAAGATACAACTACAGTAAAGCACACAACTAACTTCAAAATCTATAAAGTAGAAATCTTAACTCAGTAAGGGTGCAATTTAAATGAAAAATGTATATGCATACAAAACCCACTAACTATTTCGGATTTAATTTTCCAATTTACATTATTCACATGCTATTTTTGTTGATTGTTTAAATGCATGTGAACAGGCATGAAAGAGTACATATGTACTACTAACTGACCTGATGATGATTGTTTGTATTTTCACTAAAACCTGAACAATTTCTTGAACGTTCAGTAGAATGTGAAGGTAGATCAACTTTTGTCTCTTGAACAGAAACTTCCTCACTGTTAACTGACTCAACAGAAGAAACTTTATGACCGGACGCTGTTGGTAAACTGGAAGTCGCTTTTTCTTCATCTGAATCTAGATTAAGAGACAACAAGGAGACAGATTGGGCGTCAACTGAATATCGGTTGTTTTGCTCAACCCATGAGTCCGTAGGGGAAATAGGCGGAAACCCCGTAGCAAACGTTGGTGAAGGACAGGGGAAACCGTTGACCGATATATCCGGATTCGCATTCACTTCGACTTCACAAGTCTCAACAGACGACGAAGTCCCAGGTTTACAGTGAACCAGTGGATTCTAAAATACTAGGTTTGGAAAAACGTAACTTACCGATTTTGTAGATGCTCCAGTGTGTACTGATCTGAAAAGTGACAATGGAAGATGGTTAGTCTGGAAAATAAAATGTGCTTCCTCCACGGAAAGTTCTAGGTCCATTTTATGCAAAGCTGTGATAAAGTCCTGTTTCTTAATGTAAGAAGAAAAAAGCGCACGAACCTGTGTCGATAATATTCCGTTTCGATCCACTGGGATTGTTGATGCTTCTTTAGATGGGTACTGGAAATTAGAAAAAGTCAGTGTTTGCAAACATGTAAACGAATAAAGATGTTATTAGTTGGTTGACAGAACTGAAATCGGAGAAAAACTCAATTAATATTTAAACTAAGAATTAATTCTAACTTCAGACCAGCAGTTGGTGCGTCATATCGAATACCTGTTTCGGAGAGAAATCTTTTTCATTTGATATAGAGCTCGATTCATGAATTAAGACCTCATTTGGGATTGTTTTCCTCATTTCACTGACTTTAATCCAGGTATTCCTAATATATGGATCCGCATTATTTCTTGTGCAGTTCAGAAGCAAAAGTATTCGTGAATATACAGCAGACAAAGCATGCATAGTAACCAAAAATGTAGTTTTACGCTCCGAAACTGTTATATGGTTACAACACTGAAACCTATCACTTCAAGGGATAGGATGTCCAAGAGCACTGACAAAAGCTGCAATATTGATTTACGTGGATACGAGCCTAATGGCACTATCTGACCCTAATTGCTCTGCACAACTCTTGATCTTCAGATTACTCCAAAAGAAGTATTACCTCACCCTTTTTCGACCCGGTCGCAGTATTTCTACTCTCTTAAAGTCATCCTCTACAAACTACGGTTAGATGAGTGCTAATCCTCTTCCATTTTGCAACAACCATTCTTAGCTTTAATAGCTTCATGACTAGCCTTTCTGATCAGTCTGCAAATACATCACCTACTCATCTGACTTACCTTACTAGACCTGTTTCTCTCGGCCTTGTTTAATATTTTACCATAGCACTCTCCCACCACCTCTATTCTACCAGCCATGCCGATCATACACAAAAGATCAATACACTAACATTACTTTCGTTGATGCTTCCTTGCCGGATACACACCTTTAATAACGCTAACAACTCATCAACTTAACACTATACGTTGATCAATGACCTACCGAAACACAATCCAACTCATCACTTGATGTTTTCCACATAAATGCCCGTACAAACGTGAGCAAACTCAACTACTTACACTCGGTACGGATTATTTACGACCTATCACCTGCCATTATAATAAAGACGGTGCTCTGCTGACATTATAGACGAATCTATTTTATTTGGAGGATATTAACCATTCAGTAATAGTAGTACATTCATTCGAGGTGGTTACATCTGTTACTTGGAAAACATCTTTTAAGCCTCTGTTCTTCTTGATGAGCAATTTGTGCTTAATAGGACACCATTGACATCTGTAGACAACCCTTATCCTAAATTGTCACCGGGCTATCTATGCAGATCCCCTAATTCAAATAAACAGCTTCTCAACTTCTATATAGATGTCCCCAAATGCCCTGGTACGGCCAAGAGTGGAGAGAGTCCGCTCTCCCTCTCGAAATGCTCTCATATGGCCACGCGAATATATAGCCTCTGCTAGGGAAGTCCTACTCACTACCTTCTCGTGGCGGGGGTGTTGTTCACGAAAGTGAGAGGACGAAAAGCGAATGTCCGGCGCTTTAACCGGGTTGGTGGATGTGGAGGGTCCACCTAGGGGAGTTGGAAAACCCTGACTCCAAACCAATGGCGCACATGGGCTCCAGGATCCTGATGGAACGAATGGTGTATGAACCTATTGTTGGTCACCGGCTACCATGGGACTGCATCTCCCCACGATGCTCCACTGCTTTGCGGATCAGACCTTTAGGTCAAATGCTCGGGTGTGACCCCCTCAGAAAACCACCTGCTTCAGTCTGGGCAGTATCACAGCCTTCACACAAATCGAATGAGATTTGTGAGGCGCATATTTATCTGGTGCTTCCTTATTTACTTGCAAAATATTAGGTGACTAAAATGTCCCTAGAAGTCCCCGCTAATGTATAAAAAGCTAGCAAAAACTATCGAATCCTATGGACGGACACAGGATGTCCTGTTCCCCAAGTCCAACAAAAACGCCGAAGACCTCACATTTACATATGGCATCTTTCCTAGTACCATTCACTTTAGTTACCTGTTAACAGGTGGCTATCACAAAGTGGTTCTCCCTTCGTTCGATATATTTCTGCATAACCCGAGTAAGCATAACTCTTCCGTTTCTTGATGTGTCCAGGAGGAAAACCTGAATCTACTGTCCAGAACAAACTGAGACGTCTTCTTTTAAGATGATGAATTGATCTCAACTTTAGTTACATCGTACACAAATCTCGAATATTGTTTTGATCAAATTTTACAATGACACCTTCCCAAATTTACACATAAACATAAACCATTCGTAAGTAGTCAAATAAGAGCCAAACTTCTCTACCTCAACTTAGTTTCATAAACCTGGTGACTTCAGTCTTAGTAACCATACATACACCATGTTCTTAAAAACAATTGTGCTAACGAAACAGGAATTCGATGTTCTGGAGAATGATAATAATACGGAGATCAAGGGCATATTCAAGGCGCAGAACCTCTGGTGTCTGTAAGAAAAATTGATGAATAAGAACGCAGACTATAACATCCATTTTATGCTACATAATTGAGTCAAATATGATGACTAACAAGTCATTTGTGAACTACTAAGTGACTGATTCTGTACATCTTATATTCCTGATACAGATGCTAACTACTTTGCAACAAACTCTCAGTGATACAAACTTCAGTCTTAGCAGCGTCACTGACTCCACCGAAACTTTCAAGCTCAATGGAAGCTCAGTTACCGATAGCATCGCATCTTTTTTCTTCAGCAAGCCAGGTCTCAATATACCAATACTCTACTATCTCTTTATTAGCTGGAACATACCCAGAACCCTTAAAGGTAACTTACGTAGTCCTCGAACAATAGATAGGACTGAAAAACCTAGTTCAGAACTACAGACCAATAAATATCACCTGTTATCTTGCGCATAACAGAGAAAGTAATTAATGATCAAACATCTAGTCACCTACGAGAGGAACGCCTTATCGATCTCTTATAACAAGGTCATGTGCGACATGTCTGATAAATTTCCTTGACAAAACTCGCATTTATGACCGAAAACAACTAGTAATTATACTGTAAATCTATATCGAGAACTTCGACATAGTACCTCACAGCCCCTAATCCCCTAGTGAGGTGGATGAAATCTTTTCTAACGAACAGATTTTAAAGAAATAAAATCAACTCTGAAACATCCACATTTCAACCAATAATCTGTGGTGTTGTCCAAAGTAGTATCTTGGGTTCACTGTTCGTCAGAATTTGTATTAAATATGTTTCATTTATTTATTTAAACACATACATATTGGTACAAAAGGGCACCAGATACATATGCGCCACACAAAATAATGAGAATGGGAGGAGAAAGGGGGAAGATGTGTATACATAAAAGAAAAAAAAGAGAAGAGTAATGATGGGGGGAACTGAAATATACAACCAGAAGAACTCTCTCAGTTAAAATAGTTATAACCACTCTCTATGAAGAAAGTAAAAGGTTACAGCATGATTGAATATGTTTCAACAAAGGTAAGACCTACTCGGCAGAGATACCTGGGAAGTTATCTATAAAACTGACAGCAGTGACGTGAGATGAATTACATAAACAATCCAGGATCAAACTAGTAACGTAAGTGCTGTAAACGATGAAGTTTAGAAGTCAACATGCAGAAATTCAGTTGGTTGTGCATGGGAGACACGCTAGTTGAAATATGGCCCACATTTAATAAAAACGTCGTCAACTTGCGTCACTTGTGGCGTAAGCCAGGTCTGCATGTATTGCGCAACAATAGGCACTGGACTATTCTATGGTTGTGAAACATGGTCTACGAAAACTGAGGACACGAGTAGGTTCCTAGGTTTTGATCATAGTTATCTTCGAAGCATTATTCGCGTATCTCAAGATAAATGACTGAGCAGTCCTATGGTTAGACGCAAGGTACTGGATAAAGATGGCAAATTGATCGGTGAGGTGGCTCTTTATCGACTGAGATGGTCAGGATATGTATTACGGATGGCCATCCACCGATTACCTCGATACAAAATGAGTGGGATAGGAGCAGGTTAGAAGAAAGCTAGGTGTGGCCAAACCAAGTCGTGGCATTTCTCGAAACTGACTGTTGAACTGAGTTATATGTGAAGTAAATTGCCTGGTCGGGATCTTGATGACTGTCGCAATCGATGGTTGGAGACTTTGGTTGACATAGCTCAAAATCGTTTGGAATAGTGCAGGTGCACAACTTTCGTCGGCCCTTCTAGGTTTTAACTTACCTCGTAAATTTGTTCGATTCTACTAACCTTCTTAAATCGTCTCTTCTGTGCCTAATCTTTTTTCTTATCACTACTACTGTTACTATATCTACTCTACGATTTGCTCTGATCACTTTATCTAGCCGTGTGGTAACTTGGACTCGTATATGTCGTAGGTTCTACTTCGAGAATGACTGACTGGCTGTTCCCATTTACCCTATACCTCCAGAAGTCTGAATAACAGACTGAAAAAGAGCTATTGAATATTAGAGAGGCAGAAAACGCAATAGGTAACTTTGAGCGATGAGGAGATAGGACCGGACAGGTTAGCACCAAAAGTTGTTAAGAATGGTTGGCGAACTCTAGTCAATCATTAAGTAGAAATTAATTAATTGACTCAATCATCAGGTACGGATTAATGTATTTGGCTATAAGCCATATTATGCGAGGGCTAGTACTAGTGTCCAGTTGCTTAAACGGAAGTAGATGGAGTAGAGTTTAAGCTCCTAACTTGAAAGTTAAAAGCATGAACAAGTGAACGCTCCACATAGTAGACAGAGCTTGATTTCATTAGTTTGACATTGACGATTAACCGTCCTAGTTTGTGAGAAAGAACAGAATCACAGAAGAGTCAGTTTGTCTGGTAACATATTAGTGTCTGATGATTAGATGGAAATCATAAACAAAAAAACTGGAGGATATAAGGCTGGTTTCAAACCTGGACGTTATTGAAGACCCCAGATGAGATGATTCTAAACCGACCTAAGAATGTTATCAATTCAAAAGTCGGGACAGAAACAGGCTCAGAGTACCTTAGAGTTGCGAGTTTTCCGTGTACCGAAGTGGATTGTTTGTCTCTTATGTTTGGAATATTTGCATGTATATAGTTATCCGTAACACAAATAAATAACGGAAAACACATCTTACAAGAAAATGGCAAGACGTATATGACATTTATGTAATTTAACGTGGTGAACATTTAGGTTTGTACATCTTTGAAGGGAATTTACAGTCAGTCACAACGTAGAACTTCGTATGTACGTACATCAGTTCGAGTTGCCATACCACATTAGCACAGATGAAGTTGTCGATTCAAATCCCATAGTGGTAGAAGTAGTAAGAGTATAAGCATTATGTGAAAAATTAGGGTTTGAAGATGTTATTGAAGGTCAATCAGTCAGTTACAACGTAGAACTTCGTACGTACGTACATCAGTTCGAGTTGCCATACCACATTAGCACAGAGATCCAGTTGTCGATTCAAATCTCATAATGGTAGAAGTAGTAAGAGTATAAGTATTATGTGAAAGATAAGGGTTTGAAGATGTTATTGAAGGAGTATAATACGGCGAAATAAATTTGGAAAGAGAAAAAGGATACGGACACGAAGAATTCAGAAGATTAGAATTTGGTAGAACACAAAGAGTGGATACACCTTCGCCATTGCAAACGATTTTGAGCCATGTCATTCAAGGTCTCTAACCATCGGTTGCTATCATCTCGCGAATCCCAACCAGGTAGTCTACACCTACCAACATGGCCCAGTCCACTTGTCAGCGACTTCATGGATTTATGCCATGTTTTGGTCTGACCGCCCCTAGCTTTCTTCCAACCTGCTCCTACACCATAAAGCATTGCACGTCGGGGCAGTCGGTGGTTGAACATACGTAACACATGTCCCAGCCATCTCAACTGATGAAGTTTCAGTACTTCATCAATCGATTTGCCATCCTTACCTAGTACCCGTTTCCTAACACCTGCATTACTTACCCGATGGTCCCAGGATATACGAGCAATGCGTCGAAGACACCTATGATCGAATACTAGCAGCCTACGAATATCCTCTACTCTTATCGGCCATGTTTCACTTACATAAAGTAGGACGGAACGAACTGCTGCACAGTAAACCCGTCCTTTTGTTGCTAGACGGATATCTCGCCTACGCCATAAATGACGCAAGTTGGCGAAAGCTAGACGAGCCTTCTGTATCCGTGCTGAGATTTCGTCACACACCAGACCACAAGAGCCGATGAGACTCTCAAGATAAGTGAAGCAGTCAACACGCTCAACTACTTCACTCCCTATCATTAGTTCAGGTGTCGATGCAACCCAATCCTGAAGTAACATTTTGCACTTCGAGGGGGAGAATCGCATCCCGAACATGCCTGCATAGTTGCCTATAGTGGTCAGAAGACTCTGCATTTTGTCAGCGTCTTCACCGAATAAAACTATGTCGTCGGTGTATTCTAAGTCAACAAGTGAGCCTCCTGGTAAAAGTTCAACTCCAGGAGATTGAGATGAGCAAAGTGATATCTCTAAAACCATGTCAACGACAAAGTTAAACAAGAATGGGGAGAGTGGACAGCCCATACGAACACCACTTGAGGTAACCAATTCTAATGACAGTTCGCCATAGGCTCTAACTCGACCAGTTGTGTTCGAGTAGAGAGCCTTTATGAGGTTAATGTATTTCTTTGGTACTCCTTTCACCGACAAACACTGCCATAGAACCTCACGATCAACGGAGTCAAATGCCGCCTTAAGGTCAAGAAATACTACTATTGTGGGACGCCTGAATGTATGTCTATGCTCTAGGACCTGACGTAGAGTGAATATCTGGTCTATGCAACCATGTCCAGGTCGAAAACCAGCCTGATTTTCTCTAGTCTGCTCTTCACGAGCTTTGGTTAGGCGCCTAAGTATTATTGAAGCTAATATTTTAGACACTATATTAGTCAAACTGATTCCTCTGTGATTGTCACAGGAGGACTTTTGTCCTTTCTTATAGACTGGCACAATCAGTGATTGGGACCAGTCAGATGGAATTACGTCCAGTTCCCAGATTCTACCTAAGACCTCAGTTAATCTCGTTGCTAGTACTGGACCACCATCCTAAAAAATCTCAGGGGTCAACTTGTCAGGGCCTGCGGCTCTCCTTCGCTTTAGATTTCCTATATCTTTTTCAACCTCGTAGAGAATTGGAGGACTTACATCAATGGGACGAGTTTTCGAGCATCTATCAGTGCGGTAGATGCCGCCGTCATTGTTTCTCCCTAACCTTATGGTTTGCCTTACTAGCGGGTATCACTGCTATTTCCACAGCTTTACAGATGTCATTCCACGCTGCCTTGGGGTGGGCACACTTTACATAGCTGCCTAAATGTTTTTCCAGTTGTTCCTGAAATATATTTTTAGCTTACCTATCACTAAGTAAAACCCTTAGAGGCTTCCCTGCAGTGTCTTTCCTACGACCAGTAAGACGCAGAGATACGTGCTCGAACTAGAGCATGATGTGAGTCTAAACATGTGCTCCAGAATGAGAGACAGTCTTCTATTGAGCCCATCCATCGGTGGCTGATAGTGGTGTGATCTAATTGGGTCCAACGTTGGGATGAATTCGGGGGTCGCCATGTCAAAAGTTGTTTTTCTTATGTTTAAAGTTATTATCTGCAAGAAACGGGCTGCAACAGACGGTCTCCGTTATCTGTTCTTTTAGCCACGACACCATAAGATCCACCCAGGTGTCTTTCCCTTTCGCTTAGTTTACCTACTTGAGCATTAAAGTCACTTGCTACTATTACTACATCAGAACGCCTAGCTTTTCGGAGAAGGTCGGAAAGTTTCCTGCAGAACTCATATTTTATGTCGTCTGAGCTGCAGTCAGTGGGGGGGTAGGCAGAGACGACGACGAGTTTACGGCTTGTGTACAAGTTAGCGACAATGGTCAGTCTTCTAAGATAGATGAAGTTAACGGAAGCCTTCACTAGAAAACCACTAAAAAACAGTGAGCACCAAAAAAACACAGAAAATAGTCATTTTCAAATTAATCCTTGAACCGATAGAGAACTCCTTGACGGAATACAAATGCTAAAGGTCGTTAAAACAAGCGACTGTGTCAACTATGTAAACAGACCAGAGTGCATATCTGCATTTTTGGGATAAGAGGGTGGAAACCTGTGTCAATGTGCGAATTTAAGTTAAATACTTTTTTGAGCGAACCAACAGTCGGGATACCATTTCTCCTAGAAGCTGGTTTCCAAACTTGACTGCTCGATGGGAAAACCCGAATAGTACGAGAATTTCGCTCGAGTATAAAAAACCGTTGACAGAATCTCAGATTACTGTGTCCCACTCTGACGAATATCACACAACACTGAGCTATTCTGAATTTGTGCTAACAATTAAAGACGATGATGACAGTAAGGTAACAGAAGTGCAGTGGTTTTGCATTTACTAGCAGAGCTATTTAAACCAAAATAACAATAGCCTCTCATTCGATTCAACTTGATGAGAAAACAAAGGATACTTACCAGTTCATGGAATAGGACAAAAACAGAAATATTTATCTGCATTGAACTGTCTACACCGAAGTTGAGTCCCTTTTGTTTGTATGGATCCAATAACTGGTTGAAAGACATAATACCACATCCCCAGACGATATTTTTGACTTTAAAGTAACCATTTGATAAAAAAGCGAAGAAGATCCCGTGATTGCCCATTGTTGCGCCCAAATTTGACTGACCTCCAGAGTGATCAATATACTACCACATGAGTATCATTCAATCATTTAATTTCGTTGCGTTTCTATTTTTTTGTTGAGATTTTTTTTCTTCGACACCGCCTGGTGAGAGTAAGGTAACACTTTATTACAATAGTCCAAATGAATTTAAGGACTGTTTGTGGGTAAGTACATTTTTAGTTTAATAGATTGTACTTTTCTCAGTGTAGTTGAGTCGCCAAAACTACGAATTGTTAGGTTACTGGTGGTTGTTTGTAAGAAAAGTTGTAGAATGAGAATTAGAGAAAACTGCATAGTGCAGTTCTAAACAAATATCGATTGGTTGAGGTTTCTTGGCTGTCGTTTTGTGCATTTCAACCTTGGTTCCGTGAAATTTGGTCGCTTCGTTCGAGATGTAAAAACTTCATCAGAAGACAACAGTTTCCAGGCTCGATGGTGCTGATGGACACAAATTAAGCGACGAATTCTTTTGTACAAAGCAAGTACCTTCTAATGTCTTTATGTCTCATGGTTCAGAAACAGTTAGGGCAAATTATAATGATAGTGATTCTAGTTGTGATTTAACTGCAGATGAGGTAGAAAATTTTAGTTTAGATAAAAAGCAAGGGTCTGAGATATCAAAGCAGAATGTCGTGCCTCAACTTCCCTTAGTTAGTCTAGAATTACCAAAGGTCGAACTAAGTTACTTTGACGGACAACTAAAACAGTTTTGGAGGTTTATAAGACAGTTTGAGACGTATGTTGCATCGAGAGTCCGTGATGATAGTCAACGTTTGCTATACTTGATACATTACTGTAGGGGCAAGGCGAAAGCAGCGACTGAAGGTTGTGTTTATGAATGTACGCAGTTCTTAGCGCTCACAACAGAAGAACGGTGGTCACACGTGAAACGTATGGGTATCTGTTCTGCATGTCTTAAACAAGGACATAAGGCTATTGAATGTAAAGTGACGAGTCGTTGTACCGATGACGGATGCCAGAAGAGACATCACTCATTGTTGCATAACGATTCGGCGAAGAACAGATCAGAAGACAAACTTGCTACGGTAAACTGTTGTAGACAAAACTAAACCAGTGGACAGTCACGTGTGTTTTGGAATGATTCCTGTGGGTTTACGATCGAGTAATGCTGAAATTGTAGGTTATGCTCTTCTGGATAACGGTTCGGATACGACATTGTTAAGATCATATTGCTTGAAGTCGCTCGGGTTGACCCAAGATAAGGCGTCAGTGATGATTCAAACCGTAGGAGGCAAAAGAACAGCAAGGATCACGAAGTCGCCTCCGAAAGTATATTCGTTAGATCAGTCTGAACATGTTACAATTGATTCAGCTCTAGTTGTGTCAAGTATAACAGAGCATAAGCCGAGTAGCGTAGTCAAGTGGCCGCATTTAGCTGATGTTCCTTTAGATATGATAGATTCCGGCGAAGTGCTATTGCTAATCGGTTGCAATGTTCCGGAAGCACATTGGGTGCTGGACCAACGATTGGGTGGCAGGAAACATCTGTACGCCGTAAAAACATTGCTAGGATGGACGGTCTTTGGACCGGCATCATGTCCAGACTCTAGAAAAAGGGTTGTTGATCATACCAATAAGGTAAAAGATCAGTTTGCCAAAGAATTTACTGAAAGGGAACTCAGTAAGTATAAACAAAATCATGATGCCTACCAGACTCACCTCAGTAACTACCACGTTTTAGAGAAACAGTTCCAAGAAGCGAAGCAAGACCTTGAGGCCGAGAAACTACTTCGAACTGGTTTGGAAAACAAATTCCTCATTCTTAAAGAGCAGTTGGATGTGAAGTTTCGATTGTTTGATGAACAGGAAAAATTTGTTAAGCACGGTTTTACAATTTAAAAAATCGGCCGAAGGATGGAAGCAGGGTGGATATGAAAGCCAAGTGATTGAGACGTTTAAATCGATTCGAGACCAAAGTGCACTTGAACTAGGGGAGCATAAAAAACCAGGAGGTACAAACGTGTGTGATTAAGGTCATCAGCTAACGTTGATGGTGAAGATGACGGTGAATGGGGTCTAAGCTGTTTCTAGCTTGCGAACGCGTTAATGAGATTTTTCAACGAATAATAAACTACTTCGCGACTTCTGTAGCAAAGAAAAAAAGATAAAGTGATGATGGCTGCACGAACTTCAACCGATAGAAGATGGCCTTTAGGAATGGTCAAAAGCTATGAAGCAAATAATGATCGGAAGATAAAGTCAGTAACCAGTCGAACGAATAAGAGATTATTGAGAAAGGATTCCACAGTGAGGACGGGTAGGCATACTGTTGTAAGTCCTACTCGTTCCTTTAGTGAGGATTATACTATAAGGTGAACCATGGGAAAAGGCATCATAATAGCTTATGCAGTATGGAGGGATTTTGCGGGCCGGTGTAAGATCCATTTTGAAGGTGAAAATCCCTCCATGTATGCATTTGCAATTTTTTCTTTATGGTTTATTTATTTGTATATATTGTTAATTTTTTTGATGCCAATTGAGACTGCAACGTTTAATTTTTATAATAATTTTCTCAGTTTATCTATCGTTTTCATTGAGTTTCTATGTTTCTTCTTGAACTGTTTGTTTTAATTGATATTATTCTGGCGGCTGCCGTATTGACTGTCCGCTCTTTGATTGTGTTGTTTGATGCTGACTGGGATCGTGCATTTTGGTTGTAAACTGGAGCATTTTCCCAGAATCTGAAACACTTTGTGTCACAGAACAGCCGCTCAAAAGGAATCTTACTTGATCTATCCAGAAAGGATAGAATAACACTTACTTTTTTGATGCGTTCGGTAAATTTCTTAGTTTTCTTTTCAACTTCCTATTTATTGTAACTTAGATCGATTATTCTGGGAACAATTGTTTGGTTGAATAACTGGGTGGTAATATTTGTTCAGGTAAATTTGTACATTTGTATGTATGATGAATTTTAGAACCGTTATTACCCCAATAATCTCGTTCTGATTTTGATTGGAGTGTGCGCGTGTCTCTTATTTTACTCGTCAGTTATTCAACAGCTCAAACCTAGTTTCCAACTAGGTTTGGATCTTACAGTAGGGTAAATAAATACAAACTTGCTGGGTTTAATCTTCTGGCTGACCACGTCTTAGCGCCATCACTACCCCAATAGAAAGGAAGTGATCTGTAGTAGTAAATAAATCCCTAAATTCAAGTCTTTCACGTTGGATGCTGACCATATTAGTTTTAATAGACCCACCTGGCTGAAGGCGCTCGGTCATGCACCCGCACGAGATGAGGAGTAGGAACGCTGTGCTCAACTACTACGAAAACCTCCAGCCGATTCAGATCAGTCACTTCTCGATATATCGACAGTCTATCAAACATACCTTAGAACCTCTTCACTTCTGACTTCTGATCTCACTGGGTTGACTCGTTTCAATTTAAGGTGTTACTGGTTAGGGTGTTGTCAAACTCTAAATACTTATGGCATCTTCAACTGCAACCGTAGCTGACGAAAATTACCGTCTCTTATACATCAAACATATGATCATGAAAGTCCGATAACTCGTCGACAATGGCGCCGAAATAATCTTTCTTCCAGCAAATTCATCCTCCGACTGCGCAAACCAGTTTTCAACTTACATGCGGAGAATGGGAAACCGATTACCACATATTATAAGCGAAATGTCTAAATTAACGTGGGCTTACGCAAACCCATTCACTGGATCTTCGTCGTTGCAGATTTTTCGATGCCAATCGCTGGTATAGACCTCCCACAACACCACAACCTACTCATTGATACGCGCAAACGAAGGCTAGGAGACGGAAACACCAATTTATCTGTTTGCCTAACTTATTTTTCCGGTTGCAGATTGTCTCCAGTCACAATTAGGCTACAATAGACCCATTATATCAACTGTTACTCGGCATATATCAACCGCAACTGAAATTGTCGTGTGTAACCAGCAATTTTGCACATCACATCACGACTACAGGACCGCCTGTTTTCTCGAAAGCACGCCGACTGAATACTGAAAAGCCGAGGTTGGCTTGAAACGAATTTGACCACATGATAGAGTCAGGAATCATTCGCCCGTCATACAGCTCATGGACATCTCCTTTGCACATGGTCCCTAAAAAGCATAGCAACGATTGGCGTCCAACCAGTGACTATCGTCCAACTGGTGATTATCGGTGTTTGAACTCGGAAACCATTCCAGATCGTTCCTTGTTGCCTCACATCCACGATTTGACAGCTACCTTGAAAAATGCAATTGTCTTTTCAAAAATCGACTTCGTGAAAGCCCATATCCGAATCCCCATGGCTACTGACGATATTCCGAAAATAGCTGTGATAACTCCCTTTGGATTCAATGAATTTTCACGAATTCGTTTCGGCCTAAGAAATGCTGCTCAGACATTGCAAAGGTTCATCGACGACTTTTTCCGAAGTTTCAATTCCGTACATGAGTATGTAGATGACTACTTGATAGGAAGTCCAGGCAGTGAATCCCACCCAAAGTATCTGGACATTGTGTTCGAACGACTGCAAAAACAGGGCATTACTGTAAACATTCAGAAATACCAAATCGGAACAGACTCCTTAGACTTCCTAGGACACACTATTGATGCTCAATGCATCCGACCTCTTAGAAGAAAAGTGTTGACCATTCTTAATTACTCAGAACCGATCACATTCACGCATCTGTTGAGGTGTGGAGTTCTTTATAATCAAGTCAATAGGTGACGATAAAAAGGAGAGATCAACCATTGATAATCTCAGACCAAACGGTGTGCCAAGCAAGAAATCATACTTAAAACACAATCACACCATATGTGGTAGAGGATGGAAGGAACGTAACATAATCAGCCAACAATAATTGAGGAATGGTAAATAGTATGACAACAGTTAATAGGTTCATTGGAAGTTTGTAATAAGTGGGATGTTCAAATGTAATAATATAGTTATCTGTTAATTATATAATGAAAATATAAATAATAATGAATTCAACT